TCTGAATTCTGTTCTCAGGGAGGCTCGGCATCCATTTGTTTTCCCAGATGCTGATTGATTGGCCCGAACCCACTTACGTTCCTCTATATGGCTAAAATAGGGCAAATCATTTCAAGTATCTCTCTTTTTAACTTGAACCCACCTATTTCTTTCTTGTGGGTAGATCTACCCAAATCCGGACCGGACTAGCCATTCCAAATTTTAATTAATTCAGTTTAACCTTTGATGTAAAAACTTGTTTTATAAACACGGCTTATTTTGCAAATGTGGCAGAGTATTTTGTACTATTTTTTTTTTATAAATACAAGTAGCTAGGGGGCAAAGGAATTAGGAGACTTCTTTTGAATTCTAAACTAAATATCCACATATGTAAGATGTTTTGATCCTTCAGAGAAGATCACTAGCTAAACGACTTGACTGGCAGACTCAACCTGTTCTTTGACATTTCGCCTTTCTTAATTTGTGTCTTTATTGCTCTAATTCAAGGGGAGATGGCTAGGACCAAGGATTGTACTCTGGTAACAAAAAGGATACAAGGACTGACGGATCCAAAGTCTTACACGTTATTGTGGTCAAAATGAAGTTGCCCAACCTTTTCCACTTGGTCAGAATATAATCCCCGGTGGCAAAAGAAATCCTAATTGCCACACATAAATGAGTAAGTTCACAAGGCCAATCCGAATGTATATGGTATATACTAATCTGTTTGACCATCCACGTCGCATATAATCACTCCAAACTCTTACCATGAAAAGTTGCATTACATCAGCACTCACATTACATCAGCACTCACAACAATGTGAGCCTGATCTCGACATGAAATTAAACATTCAAACCAAACACAGGGTTAGTGTGAGCATTCCTTGTTTGATCATCAACGGTCATGTTAATTTGATTGCACAATTTTTCACGTGGCAACATTCCGCTCCTCGACTACTCTCGACTCTCGAGCAAGCCGCAAGCGCCAGCCCTTAAGAGCTAATCTGTCAAAAAAGGTCTTTTCACAGTTACACTGTTACACAGATATAACCCTGGAGTTATTTATAAGTAAAATTGAAGATGGAGTTTTATGATATTTTTAATTATGTGGTGTTTATTTAAGTTTAATTTAAGTATTATTTTTTTGGATTATGTTTAATTTATTTAATCATAATTTAAGTTGCACTTTAGTGAAAGTTGTCAATTTCCTATTTTTTAGATAAATCTGTATTTTTTTATATCTTAAAGTTAATTTTTATTATTTTTAAAAAGATTTTTTATTAATTTTTATTAATTTATTATTTTTTTTGTATTATTTTTAGGTAAAATTGTATAAAAACATCCTCTTATAACAATTCTACAAACTGATTTTGTGTTTTGACCCTAACAAAGGCCTCCCCCATAGTTTCGAGGAAAAAAGAAAGGTGCAAATACCTAATTTCCATTTACTTTTTGGTAACAAAGACATTGAAGTTATCAAAATACCCTTATCWTTATTAATGCATTATCATACACAATTTAAAGTTTCAACTTTACCTTCCACTAATTTATTTTGCTACGCAACTTTCAAAGAATAATTCTTCTTTCTCTTCTTGGATAAAGTAAGATAAAAGGACTGAAGTGAAGTAAAATTAATGCATTGCATCAATATTTTTTATTTGAAATGCCGACAAAAGGAAGGTACTTGCACCATTTTTCAAAATAATAGGGGAGGTTTTTATTAAGGTCAAAACATTGGGGGGTTTCATAAGATTGTTAGAAAACCCAAAAAGGTTTTTATAATTTTCCTTATTTTAAAAATGGATTTTAAATTGATTTTAAAGTAATTACTCTATTTAAAATTAATATTTTTATTAATTTTTAAAATTAGTAAAAAATTAATTTAATTAAGTATATTATGTCTTTCTTAATTTAAATTCTTTATGAAATTTAATTAACTATATAAATTTTTATTTTTTAGTGGAACTTAAGTTGGTTTTAATTAGTAAAATTTAATTATAAAACTAATAATTGTTAGATAATTTTGCATTATTTTATATTAATTTTAAATTTATATTAGTTTTTAGTTTATCTTATTCCTTTTTATTAATTAAATTCTTTTTTTTATATTAATAACTATATTTTTATCAATAACAATAATTAATAATTATTTTTATTTTATTTAAGTAATTACTATTTTTTTATTATGGTTAATTAATTTTTATTATTTTCAAATAGAATATAAATGCATTATAATTTTAAATGGAAGTAGATTATTTAGTGCAATAATATATAATTGAATATCTCAATTTCAATATAATTAATCTTACTAATAATTACAGTTTAATGCAAATATACTTAATATATATAAAGTTTTAGTTAAATTGAAATGGATATAGATTTAGATAAAGTTAATGAATTTTATGCAATTTAATGGAGTAAGGAGATGAGAGAGAATTAGTGGCATGAATTATTGAATGAGATAGTTAATGATATAATTAATGAGAAGAGATTATTAAAAGAGTAGAGAGAAAGAGAGAGAGTGAGTTTATGGTGAACTAATGAAGAGTGTTAAAAGTCTTAAAGGTGATTGGTTAATTGAGTTACTTTGTTCAATTTTAAAATTAAAAAATTCAAAAAAAAAACAAACAAGAAAAAAGATGAGTGCCTTTGAGAAGAAGCCAAAAAAAAAAGAAGGTAAATGTCTTTGAGAATAAAATCAGAAACCAAAAAAGTGACATCTTGGTACATTCCATTTTAATATACAAATATAGTTTAGGGAGAATTTGTCTAAGAAAACAAGAAAAGAAATTCTAGCATTATTTATTTATTTATTGGAAATAGCTCTCAGGGCTTCAGAAGCATCCCTCTCTCATCATAATAAATTCAATACAACTAGGAAGATAATCTCTCTTAAAGAGTCCGGGATCAGTGCCAATTTCGGCATGTACTTCTTGGAATTTTGTTTGATTTATAATGAGAACATTGTTTTGATGAAACCAACGAAAAAAAAATGCTTCTTAAGATTATAAACATGTTTTCACTTCTGGAATTCTTATATAAGGCCCATTTACACTCTGGATCTGCTGCAAACATAGGGATATTGTGTACAATACGCTATATTACCCATCAAAAATAAAGAATGAATTGGTTACTGATGTGTTCACTCTTGATTGGTTAAGTAGCTTATTGTACATGCCTTTATTTGTAGTGGATCACTGGATCCAGGCCCTACCATTTGAGTCTGGATTTCCTACCGACGACAAAAATCTTTTGGAGAGCCAGCCTTTGACTGTTACCTTAAAAGCTCTTATTGATCACATCAACCTACATTTAAATGGATTTGGGTCCAAATTATAAATAAAAGAAGAATTAACATCTATTTAATTGGAATTTCTACCTGAATATTGCGTGATGTTTGTACACAATACTAAAATACCAGAGGAAATCATGTTTTCAAAGCTAGAAACTGAAGAATATGTTTGTGATTTCATTCTTGAAGAAAGGGTTTCCTTTTAAAAAAAATATTTAAACCATTGTGAAACTTTTTTTTTTAAATCACAAAAAACAATTCATGATAAAAAACATTCTCAAAAATTGAGATTTTGAACCAACCCGATTCAAAACCAAACCTAATCCATATTTGAAGTTTTTGTGGTTGGGTTAGGACTTAGGATTAGGGTTAGCCACTTAGGGGTTCAACACCTTGGTTGGGTTAGAGTTGACCTCAACCCGGCCGACTTGAGGTGAGTGATACTGAATTACTAATACCTCCTCACAAGATGTAGTTTATTCAGTAGGAGTGGTCTCATCTCATGTGACTATGAATTAGTTAACAGTAACAAAAAAAAACCCTATTATTATATATTAAAACAAGGTTGGCTATGTGAGATGTCTTCTCCTTGCTCTATTATTCTAATCTTGCAATTCTAGAAGATGTACATTATTCTCTTTCCAACCTTCTGAAGCTGTCATTTCAACAAACAATTTTTCTTTTTTTTTTCCAAAAAATTAGGAAGAAATTATGACATAATAGGGTTCGTTTGGTTTACAGAAATAGAGGTYTGGAATTGGAATCGGAATGGACTATTCCGACTCCAACTGTTTGGTTGGGCGGAATTGGAATCACATTCCCATTTCTGTTGGAATGACATTTCCCCATTTGAGAGAATGGTCATTCTCTACCCCTCCCTTGGGAATAAAATCCCATTCTTGCTTATTTTAATTCTCATTCCCATTCCTACCTCAACCAAACAAAATATGGGAATGGACCATTCTAATTCTGATTTCAGAGGATTTCAATCCCGATTCTGATTCCAATTCTGACTACAAACCAAATGGACCCTAAAAAATAGGACCGGTCATGCTTCTTCCTTGCTAATTTCTCTGAAAAAACCTAACCTCATTCACCATCTTCCAAACAAATTTGGGTGAATTTATAGTATTCCAAAATCCAATCCATTAGTATCTTGATTCTCTAGAAACTAGCACAAAACAAACGTGGGACTAGTATATTCACTTTTTGCGTCCCTCTTCTTTCGTACCATTTTATTCTTTTCAATCTTCACATTTCCTTACAAATGTGAATCGTTTTGGATAAAAACCAATCCAGCGTAGATCACTACGAAACAGGGTGGAACGGTGGAGTAGAGGCAAAACAGCTCAATTACATTTATTATGACTTGCTTAAATTTTAAATTATATTATTATTTGCTTACATTAATTTATGATTTTTTGAAAAATAATAAAAATTTATATTTTCCTTTTTATTTTTTAATTAAAAAATTAGATATTAGATTTTCCGTACATCGCACGGATTCTCACTAATAAATAAAAGGAAGAACACCGTACGGAACGGAAGGTTATTTACATGACTCGTTTACATGGTCTTCTGTGAGACGAGTCAAAGAAGGGAAACCAACTAGAACAAGGAGAATTCGAGTTTTGGGGTCATGGCCGCCGAAGCATCGCTGCGTCATTCTCGGTAAACATCTCTCTCACTTCTTCGTTGACCCTTGATTCCTTCACGCTTGTACGCTTGTTGAACTACAATAATGTTCTTGTTTTTAAAGGTCATGCATGACTCTTTCTTCAAAGCATAAAACCTACTTCCATCTCCTCTTCTCCTCTCACCTCCATTCTCTGTTTTCATATTCTATTCATTGTTTTCTGAAGCTCATATCTAACTGCTTTATCTTTCTTCCCTTTCTTTTTATAGGCTTTATATATTTAGAGTTTTGAGAGATCAATGACGGCAAACTGCTTTTGTTGAATCTTGAGGAAGTAGTAGATAAATCCCAACCTGGGATTTACTCATCCCGAGATTCTAGGGAGAAACCCAATCTAGGTTCTGTTCTGCTGGAATTCTTTTCACCAAAATTGGGGAGAAAATTTTACCTGGGTTTTGCTGAATCTTGAAAATTATAGATTCCTATCTAGGTTTTTTTTTTCATCTTGTGGTTCTGCATGGTTTTGAATTTGAGAAATTGATAAATTCCCACCTGGGTTGTACTCATTTTGAGACTCTACATAGACAACCTGGGTTCAGGGTTTTTCTGGATTCGTTTTCTTGACAGAAGTAAAATCCTACTTCTGGGGTTTTACTGAATTTTGAAGAGACATATCTAGAATTCTAACAGGTTCTATTTGCTCGAATCCCTATCGGGAGCCATGGCAGAGTCCTCACAGGAGTTCAATCACAAGCTTGAGGACTCAGAAGCAATTGAATTGAGCGGCAAAATCATGATGGGAGCGATCATTACCCTCTTCTTCGTGGTTGTTTTCGTCCTATGCCTCCATCTCTATGCCAAGTGGTTCTGGGGCCGTAGACCTGATAGCAGAAATCTCTCTGGAACAAGCCGCCGCCGCTTTGTCTTCGCACCAAACCCAGACCCTGCTCATGCCCAGCGTCGAGGCCTTGAACCCTCCATTATTCGGTCTCTCCCTGTAATAATCTTCCATCCTAATGAGTTTAAGGATGGATTGGAATGCGCAGTGTGCCTATGTGAGCTCTCTGATGGGGAGAAGGCCCGAATTCTTCCTAAATGCAATCATGGGTTCCATGTTGATTGCATCGATATGTGGTTTCAATCGCATTCGACATGCCCACTCTGCAGAAATACAGTTGCTCCTGAATCCTCTATTCCCGGTTCAGAGGCACCAGAAATTCAGTCAGTTGACAGTAATTCCGGTTCTGGGTACCTGACGGAATCCCCAAATTTCCCTACAAACATCTTGTTTTGGGGCAATCAGACTCAGGTTAGCACTGGAGGCTCAGGTACAGAAGGACCTTCATCACTATCGCCATCAGTGCCAAATAGTGGGAGGGGTGGAGCCCTGGTCATTGAAATTCCAAGGAGATTAACTGAAGGATTCTCATCTGTGTCACCTTCACCTTCAACAAATAGATTTTCCGAAGAGGAAACAAGGTCACCAATGACTACACGGTTGAGATCACTGAAGAGACTCTTGAGTAGAGACAAAAGGGTTCTTCCATGCGGTCCTCATTCAGTGGACCTTGAACAAGGTGAAGGTGAGAAAGGTCAGTGTTCAAAAACAACCTCAGCATCATGAAGGCAGACGTATTAGTGCAGATTGGCAAGGAGATGACAACCAGGTTTTGGAGGCAAGAAAATGAATCCAGCAAAATGAGTTTCTGTTGTTTATAATACACATTGTACAGGTTCTGACTTGAGGCTCCAAATATTTGGTTATGCTAAGTTATACTGGCTTCTCTGATCTTTGGGGATATGTTACCCTGGAAAATGTTCTTTCATTTGCTTTCCTTTACATTGGTGGTGAAAAATAGGTGCTCTAGAATCCGTGAATTTTGCATTATTGTTTGAGTACCAAACTTCTCATGCAGTTTGGAACTCAGGTGGAGATACTGTATAGAAAGTAAGTAGGCTTTTCTTTTGGGATAGAGCAAACCATCTTCCATGGAATATTGATATAATATTTATATTCTTTTCTCATCTGAAATTCATATGTGATATGAGATTCTCGTTTAGCTATAGTCAACTGAGAAAATCCAATCTCAGTTCTTGAATCAACCGGAGTTCTGGGTTGAATTTTTATTTACTTAATGTCCGTTTGGTTTACAGTTGGAATTGGAATCAGAATTGAAATCCTCTAGAATCAGAATCGGAATGGTCCATTCCCGTAATCTGTTTGGTTCAGACAGAAATGRGAATGGGAATTAAAATCAGCAGGAATGGGATTTCATTATCAAGGGAGGGGCAGAGAATGGAGGGAATGGCCATTCCAGCAGAAATGGGAATGAGATTCTGATTTCGCCCAACCAAGCAGTTGGAATTGGAATAGCCCATTCCGATTCCGATTCCGATTCCAGACCCCTATTCCTGAGAACCAAACGGGCCTTAGTTTCTTGGATAATATCTGCTAATATGATAAAGTTCCAACATCCAGTTATTGTAAGTAATGTATTTTAAAGTTCAAAGCTTTAATTGGGCACAAAAACTTGTCCTATTTTCTTGGTTGAATGAAAGCCAGATGTACCTGATTCATTCAACAATAACTCCAGGAATCTAATTAGCAAAGTTTAGACTTAATACCCTTTAATTAGTTTAGCACAGGGAGTTGCTTGAATTTCATAAGTCCTGTACCAAACCCAACTATTAAGCTGTTGGGTTATCCTAAGCCTGCTAAATCTTTCCTATACCTGAATGTTGATGCCTTCCGAAAGGATTCATTCAAGTATTTTGCTGACTTGTATGAGACTCAAAGTCGCACTAAATGATTGATCATTGAAGTTTACCTTGAAGGTTTTGCAGAATGAYAAGGTAACCACCAAATAGGGTAAGGCAGTCAGGTACTTCTAGCATCACCAAACCGGAGACACCATTAAATGGTTCCAGACTTCCAGTTATAGAGACTAGCTGGACCAAAAATCAGGTTGCAACTTGATGGAAGCTCTTTATTAGCACACTGCTTAAATTTGGACTCTTTGGGAACAGTTCTCTTGAAACGTTCACAAAGATAATGCATAGATTAATTTACTGAAGCCATCTGACAATGCTAATTTTGGTGGGACACTGAACGAGATGGACTCGTGGACCTATTTGATGACGGGTCCTGATCCTCTGCATATCCAAGTCCAAAAACAAGTTATGAGGTTCCTCGAGTGAACTACATATCCCTAGTGATGATGTGCGATGCGATGCTCCCTATTGGTAGGCAGTTCGGATGTTGGACTGAGTAGGACGTCTGGTCGAATTACAAGAGAGAGATTAGAATGTCTGAGTTGCTTTATTTGGGGTGAACAGTCCGATATTTAAGTTAGCGAATTAGAGATGTGATTGTAAGAATACAATAAAGCTAGAGTGCTTGAGAGCTAAATTGTGTGTACCTTTTGAGGTTGGAGGTGAGGCCCTATAGGCGGGCTTCCATGAGCCTCACAAAACACGTCTAGAATCTCCAACCCATTTGGTTTGAAGGTAGTTTCATGCCTGGAGGTGGATTTTGCATAAGTTGGTAGTGCTTATCTAGTTGTGCCTGAAGCGGGTGAGGTGATAACTGGCTCTTCCAACGTGGCGTCGTGATCCCGGGGAAGTCGGAGACGATAACTCGATTAAGGAGGAGGTCACCCCAAGGTTCTAAATATCGATACGCCCCTATCGACGTATCGGGTAGTATTGGTCCTTTTTTTATTTTTTTCAAAACCGGTTCAGGGGGGCCAGTTTAAGGCTCCTCTACCCCTGAACCGATCAGAACCCTAATACACCCTTTGTAGGGGTGTATTGGCGTGCTCTCAATATGATATGTGTCGGCTGATACGGGCCGATACGTGTCAATACTTTGAACCTTGGGTCACCCGACAGGTCACTAGCTGAACTCGGGTCAGGTGGGTAGAAGAGGGTCGCCTCTCATGCTGACCTGATGTCTTGCCAGGGCCAGGGCAATTCGGTGGAAGCAGGTCACCTCTTACATCGACCTGAGGTTCTACCTAGCTGTTTGCAATTCGGTTTTCCAAGGTGGTGCCAAGGTCGCTAATGTAGTTGTGAAGTGTCGAGGTTAGTAGAAGTGGGTCGCCTCTCATGTCGACTTGATGTCATGCTGGGGCTGGGGCAGTTCGATGGAAGCATGTTGCCTCTTACACTGACCTGAGGTCCCGCCTAGCTGTTTGCAATTCGGTTTACCAGAGTGGTGCTGAGGTTGCTAATGTAGTTGTGAAGTGTCTGAAATGGTATAATTATATAGTGACAATGTGTCACCCAGTTGTTCTATGATATCACATGTTATGATGTCATTGAAAGACCAAATTACTCCTTATCACCTAGAAAATAAGTCAAGCATCTCCAAGGTTACCTAGGATAATCATCAAGTCAAATGATGGATCATCCTATCTAGTTGGTTTCTTATGCAAATCTTGGTATCTATCCCCCAAGCTGTTCCAATCCAGCAATAGAAAGAGTACCTAAGTCAAGCGATTTGTTTGACTGTTGTGCTTTGTTTTCTCAATATATGTGATTGCCTACTTTATGAGTTTTCAGATGAGAACCAGCTAATTACGAGGGTATTTGGTACTGCCGTTTTGCATTCTCTTTATGCTCTAACTTAAGCTCCATGCAGGTGATTCTACTTTAATGTTCAGAAATCTTTGGTAATTGGTAAGGGTATTTTAATTTGAATACACTGGGTTTCACGCAAGGGTAGAAACACTCAATGTTTTTAAAAACGAACCGGAAATAGAACCAGTCAGGAGACCGGTTTCCGATTAGATGGTTCAACCGTCTGGGTCGAACGGTTTGACTTATGACATCATAAATAAATTAAAAATAAAAATATATATTTATAAATAATAAAAAATAGTATAAAATTAAATAGAAAAATAGAAAAATACAGTAAAATACAAAAAATAAACTATCTAAATAAAAAATAATATAGTACAAAATACATAAAAAATATAAAAATAAAATATAGAAAATTTTAAAAAATACAAAAAAATAAAAAATACAGAAAAATAAAATAGAAAAATAAAACCATAAAACTTCATCAATAAATCTCTTTCTCTCTCTCATTGGATGGTGGAGTAGCTATGAGTCCTCCATTTACTTCGTTTGAAGCAAGAAACATAACCCTTAGAAGTGGTGTATGTACGAGGAGCAGAGCCACCCAAGGCCGCTACCACAGTTTCAGTGCAGACGATCGAGCCGCATATCTTTCTCTCCACCATAGCCCGACCTGCGTGATTAATCATCGATGCCACCTCTCGCACATTGATGAGCATGGTGTTGTCGAACCTTTCCATATACATCTCTAGAATGCTGCTTAGAGGACCCAAGATCCCTRTTGAGAGGAGGGAACTCAGGAAACCCTAAAGCTAAAGTGACTAAATATTCGAACTGGGTTACTGGGTTGGGGAGAAGGTATTTTATTTTATTTTTTTATTTAAAAGATTGAAAATAAAAAAAGTAACCCACGAACTGCTACCCGAGTTGAACGGTTTAGCGGTCCGACCGCCCAGGTAAGCGGTTTTCTGACATTTTCAACGGGTTTTAGAAATTTCCGGTTTTAAATAAAACTGGACCTAGGGGCTGACCAATTACTGGTTTTTCCGGTCCGACCATCCGGTCTGATCCGGTCCGGTTTTGAAAACCATGGAAACACTTGTGAATCTGAAAATGTTCCTACTTTTTTATACAAAAACCTCCCCTAAAGTTTCTGACAATCATAAAAGCCTCCCTTTTAGTTTCAATTTAATAAATACCTCCCCTAAATTTGACAAAAACCTCCCTTCTGTCACTAAACCGAAACAGTAAAACTTAAAACTGATATATCAATTTTTCCAAATACCCATTCTACCCTTTGACTCTTTCTTCGTCTTTCTTTATTGTCTTTTCCCTTCCCAAGTCTCACACATTGATAAACATCTCTCTATCTATGCTTCTCCTTTATTCCTTCTCTACTATTGCAATTCAATTCCTTAAAGCCATATTTCGTTCTGTGGAGTACTATCAGCATTGGTAGGTGGTCCAACATATCTTTCATCTTTCTTCGTTCCTAGACCATGGCAAGACTAGTGCGGCTCTCTATCTCTGTGCTTTTACTGCTGCTTTTTGTTGATTTCATCAATTTTCTAAATCCTCCTCAGATCTCCCCGGCTCTTGTTCCTAACACCGAAAACCTGTCTCCCTCTCCCCCACCTCTTTCCCCTCTCCAACAAGATAAGCTCCCTCATACTGGCTCCTTCACCGAACGTCAATTCTCCTGAACAAAAACACCCACACTGAGAATAGTAATTAAGATGGAGTACTAATAGTATACATGTAGCTTCAGTTTGGGCAAATCAACTCTAAGAAGTGTCTAGCTCTAGCCTCTAGGACTCGAGAAACAAAGGAGTAGTTTGGATGATTTGGCATCCTAATTACAAAAATCATTCTAAACAAAAGAACTCAATTATCAATTCTCTTAAGTACTTAGAGCATGTTCACCTTTGCCTAGACCTGTTCATGGGCTGGGCCGGGCCGGGCTCGGGCCGGGCTTTCACTTGTCACTAATAAAAATATACTAGGCCCAAGCCCGAGCCCGGCCCGACTAACAGGCCTATAACTTGGGCCCAAGCCCAACCCTGATAAAAAGCCCGAAGCTCGAGCCCGAGCCCGAAGCCCGACCTAATTGAAAAAAAACAAATTTTCCTATTCAAATTAGAATTAAGAATCCAGATAGTATTTTTTTTCTATTTAAATGAACAATGGGCTTACAAGATGGTATTTTTTCCCTTTCTTTTATATTTTAAAACACAGTTTTACATTATTAAATCAAAAAATTTATTCAAATGGACATAATCACATAACTCATTTTAAGTTTAATAAGCCCGAGCCCGGCTTGAATTTTATGCGGGCCGGGCTTTTTGGCCCGAGATTAAGCCCGCGGGCCAAAAAGCCTGTTCAAACCCATCCGGGAGCCGGGCCGACCTATTGGGCCACCTGGCCCATGAACAGGTCTATTTGCCTGAAGATTCAATGCCTTGCTGAAATAGCCATACTCACGGAGGCCATAGCAAACACCATATGTTTTCCATGTGTTTTTCCACATGTTGTGATTCTCATTGCACGAGCATTAGATGTTGGGTTAGTAGTTGCATGAGTGTAAACCAACCTGTTAATTAGTTCCATTAATGATCCAGTCATGAGATCATACATAAACGTAGTTTGAAAGAATGTGGTGTAAAGTGTAAACCAACCTCATCAAGAAAGAAATGTGCTCATATTGCACTTTGTAAAAGCCTTCATGTCATTAATAGAGAAAGGCAGGAGGTCCTTTCACAAAGAAGTTGAGTTTAGGTTGGCCGGTCTTGGGAAGGCAACACCCTGCACTAGTTTGCTTGCAATAAGAACCAGGCCACTGCAAATTATTACCATCCTAGACACCCATGTTAGATATATCAAACCAAGGAGGATAAAACTAGTCACAATGATACCATATGAATATGAAGAAAGAATAAATAAACTCATCAACAATGCCTATAGATAGTAATTTCATCATGTGTAAACGTCATGAGAGAGGAAGAGAGAACAGCACCATGAGCACAAGATGGTAGAAATCAAAATCCTTAGCAACAATCCCTCAAATCCCAACCAAAGGCCAAAGATTAACTAGGACTACGAGAGAGGATGGTATGTTGATGAGAAGATTCATGACTCATGCAGCTACAACTGATGTACATAAAAGAAAAATCATTGATTATCGATTGCTAGACAATATGGATGGAAAACAAGATAGATAGTGTTGAAAAATAATGCAAATAAGGTAGAATGAAACTTATCGGTAATGTTGTAGAATTATGAAGACAAAACAGAGATTTGCAGAGAATGAAGGGCAGAGTCGTGCTACTTGGTCTCTCTATGGTGCAACCAGGTGATTGCAAATCGGTTGTCAAGATAAAATAACCCACAGACCACTGGTAGATGTGCACTTGTTTATTAGACCTTTGTGAACCACTCAGAGATGATGCTCAAGAAAGAAATAGACAGAAAACTGTGAACTTGTTGTTTTATCACACTGGGTCGGCCACCACTCTATTTATAGAGTGTTTTCAGTCACCCGGATGGAACATGTCACCTGTTCACAGATACATAGAGACAAAACAAATAGATAGAAGAAGACAAAAAGCGTCAGGCAAAACGATTCGACGTACATGCACCCACGCCACGCCGCACCCCATCTCGGTCCAGTGAGTTCGTCAATGACCTAAAGGGGTGTGGTGAATTAAAATGCATAAAGAGGACTGTAAGAACAATACGAGGATAAAGGAGAGAGGGGTGTATATTCTTTTGTACATTTGGAAGAATATGAATTGGTGAAGGGTGATTTGGCCCTCCAATGACATCATGACATGTGACACCATAGAACTGTCATATGACACCTTAGCACCATGTTGGCATTGACTTCGGGAGCACTTAGGACACATCGCACCCGCTTCGACCTCCTCGACTCCACCTCGACATGCCGACTTGCAGGCACCCTAGAAAGTGTCAGGTTGGCATAAGAGGCGACTTGCCTCCGCTGACTTAATCGAGGCCCAGTTAACGACCTAAACGACGTGGTAGGCAACCTACTTCATGAGTGGGCTATCGTCTCTGACTCCTTCGGGTTCATGTCGCCATGTTGAGGGTACTGAATCCCGTCCTGCCCGCATCGGAGGCAATCGAATAAACATTATTGCTTTACACGGAGTCCGCCTTCGGGCGTGAAGTCACCTCTGGACCAGATGGGCCGGTGATCTTGAACGAAGCCCACTTGTGCCTATATAAAGACATTCAATTCCTCAGAAAAGTTACGCTCAATTTAGATCTCAAGCATTCTAGCTGTCACAACAACTCTTTGTTGACTTAAGCATTGGAGTGCCCACCTTGGGTAAAGCACCAAGGGTACTCTAACTGTTCTCTTGCAGTTCAGCTAGTCGATCTCACATGCCAATGTCTGAGCTGTCATTTGCTACAATAAAGTCAACTTCTCACCAACCCACTGAGCATTAATAAATGACGTCAACCAAGGACAACAACAACAACAACACCTAGATCGAAGGAACCCCTACAGGCCTTGACAGTGGACCGCCTAGCGGGTCGAGCCCTCCATGCTTCCTATGAGAGTTGATTGCCAATAGACTGTGAGGTTGCCCTCGCAGGTCGAGCCCTCCATGGTTCCCATGGGAGTTGATGGCCAATAGACTGTGGAGCCTCCCCCGCAGGTCGAGACCTCCATGGTTCCTGTGGGATTTAATGGCCAAGAAACTATGGAGCCGCCCCCGCAAGTCGAGACCTCCATTGTTCTCATAGGAATTGACGACCAATAGACTGTGGAGCTGCCCCCACAAGTCATCCCTACCAGAGTAATGAGGTGTGCATAGGCTGAGTTGCTAAGAGCGACCTGGCCTGTTAAAATTTTGGCAAGGTTAGGTTAACGTAAGAGGTGACCTGATTTCTCCAACTTGATTGAGACCCGCTTTGGTGACCTAGACAAGCCGACTCACGATAAACGCACTTCGGCAAAAATCCACGAATGGAAAGTCAAACTGCGTTTAGCATTAAGGCTCCCTCAAGCCGACCTATTCGAAACACAATGACAATAGATGGCCAACCCGCACTTAGCGCACCTCGGCTCGTCCAAACATGCAACATCATCCTCGCCCATTGTAGGACTAGGTTAGCCATCTTAGGACTAGGTCACCATCATAAGAATAGGTCGGCCATCTCAAGACTAGGTCACCCATCGCAGGACTAGGTCGACCATCTCAGGACTAGGTCGACCATTTCAAGACCAGGTCGCCCATCRTAGGACTAGGTTAGCCATCTCAGGACCAGGTCGGCCATCACAGGACTAGGTCGGCCATCTTAGGACCAGGTCGGCAATCTTAGGACCAGGTCGCCCATTGTAGGACTAGGTCAGCCATCTCAAGACTAGATCGACCATCACAGGACCAAGTTGGCCATTTGAGGACCAGGTCAGCTATCACAGGACCAGGTCGGCCATCGCATGATTGGACTAGGGACCTCGGCAAGAGGGGCAACCTCTCTTCGCTGACCTAGCTGAAGCGTAATTGATGATCTTTAGGACATGGTGGTCGACCCCCATCATGAGTGGGCTATCGTCTTCGAGTCCTCCAAGGATCATGTCGCCCCATTGACARAGCTGACTCCTGCACCGCCCACTTCGGAGGCAACCGGATTAGCTCTATCACTTTATGTGGAAATCGCCTCCAAGCGAGGTGGGCCGATTAGCCACGTTCCCCTAGAGATCTCATGTGTAAAGCGTGAAGTCCACGACAACCTACACCTATATAAAGGTGTCCTAGTAATTAGAGAAGGTACATATGATTTAGCATTCACAACTATCTAGCTTTCTCACTTTATAGCTTTCAAACTTTCTTCGTTGACTTAAGTATCATAATGCCCACCTTGGGTAAAACAACCCATGTACTCTGATACTGTTCTCTTGTAACCCGACCAGGCAACCTCAATCAAGACTCTAAGGTTAAAACATTGAGAAATGTTAGATAGAGTCCGCCTGAGGAGGGGACCATCAAGATTAATTTCAATGTGTTAAGGCTTAACAATGATGTGTGCTGCGGTGGCAAAAAATTGTTCAAGGGAGATTATTGATTTCAAGGGTTACTCTTTGGGTGTGTCTTCCATCAACAATGCGGAGGCTTGAGTGGTTTGGGAGGCCCACAACTTGGCTGTTAACTTGAAAGGAGCAAAAGTCATCAATCGAAGGAGTCAAAATTAGTCATTTCGTGTCTAAAGAACCGTACTTCCCCATGTAACCTCAACAACATCATCTTTAGAGTAGAGTGAAATATAAACATGTCTTAAGAGAAACAAATCAAGCGGCCGATTGGATTGCTAATCAAGCTTATTCTTATTATTATGTTATGGTTATGTATAACCAATGCAGTGCAATTTCTTTTTGGCCCCATAAATCCAATTACGGGGCATTACTCATCCAATTATGTTATGGTTATGTCTCCCAACTCCCAAGTGATACCGTGATAGAATTAGTGCATGAAAAAGATACGATAAGGAAACCAATCAATCAAAATACAGATCCATATTCGATAGAGAAACAGATCCGGAAGCGGGTTTTGGAGTATTAATATCCTGTCACAGTGTCACTTACGCATTAAGGTGAGAAAATTACATGTTGGGTGTTGAATCTGTATATCTTATCTCAGATTTTGATTGGATTACTACTACTGTTGGAATTGGCATTCGGGTAGGATTTATTTCAGGATATGGATATGGATGATGCGTGGGGATCAGAAGTCACTAAATGGGTATGGATCCGTGTGGACCGTTTCTTTTCGTTCCCTGTTTAAAAAAGAGAGAAGAGACCAGTCCAAAGGTTCACAATTGGTGGATAAGATTGAATTCACATTGGCGCCTCACGTACACATCTCAGCGTTTGGGAACATATACATCGGAATAGGAGGAGAGGAGACTCCCTCACGACTCTAATGGCAATCAACCCTTGACTGTCCAGATAAGAATAAGAATCTAATATTGTGCATTGACATGTGACCCATCTCCCCACAATTCATTCTACAATAATACATTATGCATCTTACATGGATCAAGCTTCTATTGAAATTCTAGACATGGGTCATATGTACTTGAAAATCCGGATCCGAGTTCCGATATTCCCAATTCCCCACCGCATTAATCTGACGTCTATAAAGCAAGTGGGACCCCTTAAAGCTTTTGTCCCAATGCCGTCGGTTCACTATATGTAAATCATTTTCGCCGTCGTAAAAAAGTAGGGGAAAAAACAGGGGAATTCGAAAATCGTGCCAAGGACTTCGCCGTCGCCGCGAGGCCGCACCCATCAWGAAGTGAAGAACCCTCAAAATAGAAGCCCACAATCAATCAATCATATAAACGAGAATCATAGGTTGAGGCCTAAGGCCGCAGGGAGGCAGGAACCGAAACCAGACGTCCAGAATCTCCATACCACTCTTTGTATCAATAGATTTAGCATATTCGAAGTTTCGAACCAATCTGTTGATCCGTTGAAAGCCTTTGACGATCTCTCCGGACTATGCTGACGAGATCATTCCGGACAAAGTCTCGGTCTTGATTTCCACGTCGTTGTTCCAAATTCTTTATTATTTGCAACTCTCCTGTTTATTTATAAATCTTTCTTATCACTCTAATCACCACGTCCCTCCCTCCCGTTTGCTTTGTGCTTTTTTTCATTTGTTGATTTTCCTCTCCTTCTCTCTCTCTCTCTCTTCTTTTTTTTTCTTGAATTTCTTTCCTTCTTCGGGAGGGAGGGGGGATGAACTGATTTTGTACTGTTACGATTTGATGGTTATTTCGTATGGGTATTTTTTATCTTCTCCTTTGAGATCTTTTTTTTTTTTAATTTATTTTTTTTATGAATAGTTAGCCTTGAGCTTATCTCAGAAAGCCCGTTTCGTTTCTTGGATTCCTTACTGCTAATTAGCTATGAACCATTGATTTTATGAGATGGGCACTTCTGATCTTTTATCTTGAAATTGTATTCGGACTTCGGAATATTTCTTTCAGTTTTTTGTAGGAAAAATGGAATCTTTTTCCGTTACTGAGATATCATAGAATATTTTTGGATGGGTCTTTGTGATTTTCGAGACTATCTACAGCGGAGCTTTTCGTTTCTTAATCTTCTCGGTTTCGTCGGAAAACGGAGGCTCTTATCCGACTCAACTTTGAGATGGGGATAAAAATTTAGATGGGTGTTTGTTGTTGCCTGCAAGCCCATTTTGATATTTGCCTGTAACTTCTTTATCTTAGGATTTGAGGAAATTCCTTGCAATTCTATATTGACATTTTTATTCAATAACTCCTAGGTTTCTGGAAAATTACTTGACTGGTTTTTCTAGGGTTGGCTTGAATATGAAATCGTTATGGTAAAAAGGCAAAGTTTTCGCTTGCTTTCTCGTCGAATCATTTCTTCATATTGGCCTGCGATGGCATTACTTAACAAGGAGCCATTCTTTGGGGGTTTCCACGGGTTTAGACGGGTGCATACGGCAAACGTGAAGCCTCGGTTTCCTGCAAAGGTTTCCATTGACGCAGGTAGCAGTTTATGGATAAATGCCAGCAAGGTGTTAAGCTTGAAGGGTTCCTATGATCACTGTGACAGTCTTAGGATGAAGGCAATTGATGGCTTGAGCTTGAATGGATGCTCTGATCACTTTGACCGCCTTGGCAGAAGGGCCGATGATGGATTCCAAAAGGCTCATGCATTGGCTCCATACCCTCAGCTCGCTCGCGATTTGGAGGTTGGGCTTGAAGAGGCCAAAGGTGCCAGCACCCGGTCGATGAGTGATCGTGGTTCGTACAAGGGTGGGAAGTCTCTTGGGTTCCTTGATCAACCAGTGCCCAATAAACTCATTGTTGCCGTCGATGTGGATGAGGGTATCTCTCTTCTGGCCTGCTAATACTTGTAGTATAATATCCTTACTTAACATGACTCACAATTTACCGGGTATTGACATGAAGCCTTGGATTTCCTTCTGTTCATTTCTTCTCCTATGTTTAATGGCTTAATGAGTTAAAAAAATATTACAGCCTAAAATTTTCTGCCTTTCTTCCTAGAAAAATTTATACCATATTACATCATAAACAGGATTAAAGAGGGACACAAATGCGTGCACACACACACAGGGAGGAGGGAGTTCTTTCGTGCTTTGATTGATCATTGTCTTTTCAGGAATAGTTCGGAGACATAGTAGCAGATAGAGTTGCTTAAAATCAGTGAACATACACACACAAGCACAATAAATTTGTCAGGTCATATACATATGTCCTAACCAGCAGCATCCCATCAATGATCACCTGTGAGATTGGACATGATAGAAAAAATGTACCAGTCAGCTAATCCTTTCTGTTTTTGATAATTAGTCAATCAGTTTATCCTAATCTTCCAACACCCAGCTTCTTCTGAAATCTGATATTTTGTTAATGGACATAACAGTACAATTACAATTTTACATCTTTGCATGCATTCAGACAACTCTGACATATGTCTAGGAGTCTGTCTCCATGAACCCCCAAAACTAAGATTTTTAGACATGTCTCTCATAAACACTTTTATTTTATACTAAATATTGTGATCTTTTGACATTCTTTTTAAAATTCACGGAACTATATATGGATGCCAATATATATTAGTTAAATTACTTTACAATTGACTTGTTAAACTCACAGCCTTTGCCTATTTATTGTGTGGAAACAGTAGTTTTTTTCATTGATTTCCTAATATTGATATTAATTAGAAAAGATTCAATAAGCAATGGATCATAAGTCAGGTGTAAATTGAAAAATAAATAAATACTTGAGTGTTCTAGTGGACAGTTTAAATGGTTGAACCATTGTCACGTAGAGGTGTTTAAAGTGAGGATTTGTAATTTTGGAGTCAATGTGGTGGGCATTTTGGTAAATCTAACAGACTTGCACTATAGCTAGTCCAACACGTATTTTGGAGAGTTGGAGACAAGTTCCTCTTTTCTTTTTTCCTTGCATGAGGCTCTTTGTGGCTCTTGGAAGATAAGTGTGTTTGTCTTCCTCTTGTAAATTCTTTATTGATGATTTACTGATGATTTAATGAAAGTGTTATTGATAAAAAAAAAAAGAGTTGGAGACAAGTTGGCTTGTGTTAATTGGATTGTTTTGATTAGACTGATTGTAGTTTTTCTGATCATCCAAGATTTGCCCTATTAATTAATGTGTAGCTTGTTCAGAGGCTAGTAGATTACCTGAAGCAAGGCCAGAAGAGCAGAAACTGGGACTCAAGCCAATTCTTTCCCCTAGATCTGCATGCGCCTCTGACTAGCTCTAATGACAGGCTTGAATCGGGTTTTCACAAACCCATGTGAACTTGGCCCAATTCTATGGACCTACAATTACAAATAATCACTAGCAAGCTTTAGCCTACTAAATTGTTGAATTCAGTCCAAGGCTCATAAAACTTAGCCTGTTCTAGCAAGCCCAAAGGTTGGTTGCCCAAAGGTTGGTTGCCAAATTGGACTGGACCCCATGTGATATGCAGAAATTCAATGCCAATCATGTTTTCTCAAGATTCACATAGTCAAATCTTTTCAAGGTTTGATTGCATTTTCAAGATCTATGTGGGGGATATCCAGGATTTAGAATATTTTCTTTCTAGCAAATATTTCTTTTAGTTTCATTGTTTAGGGGAGTAAATGTACAGTAGGGTTGTTTTTTAATCAATAACGATCAAAATTTTATTATAATATAAACATAATATACAATTTTACAAGATGATAAATTTACAGTAGGTTTTAAAAGATATATTCTGAATCCTCTATATAAACCCATGTAAACACTCTTTTGAGCATGGAATGAATGAATGAAGAGTTTTCTCCACTAATGTGTTTGGGGCTGACTCCATCTCTAGGTGTTAATTCTTAGAGAAACCTTGTAGTGCTGACTTTGTTAGGCTTTATGGCTTCATCTTTATTCTAGAACAGGTACTTTGATTTAGTTATGCATGGTTTTGCTAAATCTTTGTTACTGGCATCAAACTTATTTTTTTTTTCTTTTTTAGTCTTCTGCAAATTCCTGGTCTATGTTATTGCTACATTTTTTTAGTCTTTCAAATTTGTTTTTTGGCATTGTCATCCTGACACTTTTTTTCTCTGATACACAGTTCTTGGAAACTTTGTTTCGGCCTTGAACAAATTTATTGCTGATCGTTACTCTTCAAATCACTCAGTTTCAGAGTACCATGTGTATGAATTCTTTAGGGTAAGGCTGATTCCTGCATTTATGGTTTTCAATATATGGCATCTTGTTAGCCTATTCAATTTTTGGTTATATATATTGTTTATCAAAAATAAATATAGAATAGTCGAATTTCTTCTAGAGACTAACGCTGATACGGGTACTCATCATCTCTGTCCACACCTTCCCAGTTGACAGGTTACCCATTGATTACTTGAATGGATCATAACACAAATTGTGCATGGACAGAAGATTTGACTAATTTATAGTTGAACATCTAAAGCAATCTTTGATATGCTGGTTAAGATCTCATCTATCGGTACAATGCTTGGGTTATGGTTTATTCAAGGGATAGCCATCAATTGGATGATCTGACTGATGGAACATGTGGCAATCACATGCAGAGATGACAAAAAGTGCCACTGTTGTTGGTAGACTTGGCAACTTTTGGCGGTTGTGTTTTATTCCCTTTACCCATATGTAATTTTGGTGTATCTTCTGTTGTTATTGCAGATATGGAATTGTTCTCGGGATGAAGGTACCATTCATTCTTTATTTCAATTCATTTGCATCATAACAAAAGAACGCTCRTACTAAGCTAAGCAAAAAAGTTTCACTTCATTCATGGAGATGGGTTTTTTAATTTTTATATTAAATCAACCTTTAACTTGATTAGATAGATTTTAACTTGGTTGGATATTAATACAGTTTTTTCAAGTTTAAAAAAGTTCCATTGGTTTAGTCTCTTCCTGAGTTGTGACTTCTCAAATTTATTAGAATTAGGCTTATAATGTTTGGCCAGCCTACGACTTATCCTAGTCAAGGTTGAAGATTTGATGTGGAGAATTTGTTTTATTTGAATTGCATTGCTATTTAGAACTACAGTGACCTGAATCCCCTTCTCTAATGCAGGTTATTGCATCTACAAATGTCTGATAGTTAACCTTTACTAAAACGTGCATGTGTTTTATATAAATTGTCTGATTATTTATTATATTGCTATATAAAAAAGGGAAGAGCTCCCCCAATAAATACACACTTCAGGGTCTCAATAAACATTGATTTTGCTTTATACTTTTGGAAAAGATGTTTTACTGGTTAATAACATACTCTAGTGACCAATTGCTGATAAAAAAAAAAGAAAAGAAAAGAAAAAGAAAACTCTACTGACCAATGGTTTTGGCTGCCAGCTTATCTAGCGTGCATGTGTCCAGAAATTAAAATATCTGCTTAAAGAACCTAGAGTTTGTAAACTTCGAGTGGGAGATAGCTAAATTGTCAGACAATACCAATACAAAGTTCTAATACATGGTGGTTCAATTTTCATTTTACTGTGGCAGCTGATATCCGTGTTCACGAGTTTTTTAAGACTCCATATTTCAAGAAAGGGATTCATCCTATCCCAGGTGCTCGACAGGCTCTCCATAAGCTATCTGCATTTTGTGATCTATCAGTTGTGACGTGAGTGTTCTGATTACACTCTTCAAGGATTATTTTAATTTCTTTAACAAGATCAAACAGCAATTTTATTGTGTAACTTGTCTATTTTTGAAGGTCTCGGCAGAATGCAATCAAAGACCACACAATTGAATGGATCGAAGAGCACTACCCAGGATTATTTCAGGAGATTCACTTTGGCAATCACTTTGCTTTGGATGGGAAATCAAGACCCAAGTCAGATATTTGCAGGTCTGTGTATACTTTTTCCCTTGTTATTATTGTCTTGGGCTCTTAGCTGAACTATGCATTCTTTGTTTATCATTGTTTAAAGATCTGCATGAAAAGGTGCCTGTTAAAAATATTCTAGAGAAAAGTCCAATTATATTTCGTGGAAATGGTAGAAGTTTTTTTAATGTACCCAAAGGGGTCTGTAATCAAGTGCTGAACTGTTAACCGATGACAATTGATGTATTGTGAATGACTGAGAGGATGAAGTTTCAGCCCTACACCAATCTTCTCTTCTCCCCATGTTAAACAATATCCATTAAGATAGAATTGTGCATTCCTTTTACAAATTGGCCATGGTATTATCTTCTCGCTGTTGTGATCTTGCTTATGTTTGGTAGAGCTTCACAGCTTCTGTTTCATGTTTCAGCACATTATCTAACCACAAAATTTGTTGAATTTGGTGAAATTTCCATGGACAGTTTATATTTTTACCTCCAGATATTATGGGTGGATAGTTATCTTTGAAACAGGATGTTCTGTGGCCAAATTCTGTGAACAGCTGCTATGAACATTGACAGAAATCTAGTGGAACATTTTTTTCACCAGACAATATGTAGATTTGCGAATGTTCGCAGATTATGTTCACAGTTTTGTTTGACAGATCCATTTGTGTCACCTTTGCCATGGCAGATTTTGTTGTACTCATGCATATGTGGTTTAATCTAGATCATTTAGCTARTGCACCTTACTATTAGATTGAATACCTAGAATCACATGAAACAGATAGCTACTACCAGTTTTAATTAACAACTTGGAATCTGGCAGGTCCTTGGGAGCACAAGTTCTGATTGATGATAACCCACRATATGCCATTGAATGTGCAGAAGTTGGAATTAGGGTTCTACTTTTTGATTATCAAAATTCATACCCTTGGTGCAAAACAGGATCAGATAATTTGCATCCCTTGGTGACTAGGGTTCATGACTGGGAAGAAGTAGAGCAACGGTTAGCATCGTGGGTTTTGTCTTAAGCTTTCTAGCAGCCTTAATTGGTGCTAACCAGAATACCCATCTGTTTTTAAATACTCGCCTGGTTCATGTATCGTAAAAGATTGCGTAGATTCTGAAAGTACGGATCGTCTGATGCTGCAATATTTAGCAAGACAGGAGAAGACTAGAAAAACCAGGTCGATGACAGGAGAAAAGTTGTTAGTTGGTTCATGGGTGTTTTTTGAGACGTAATGCTACCAATGTAAATTGTAAAATAGTGGTGGGAGACTCGATATTGATTGGCTGATTCTGGATGTTAATGTTCACTTTGATTTATCTTTCAATTGTAATTCCAATTTGATAATTCCAGCAAATATACTTCGTCAGGAACTGTTTTCCTTCAGGTTCTTCCGGACTTTGGCAAGTTGGGATTTAGAACCAGCAACTTGCAATTAAAGAAAGTGAAAGCTCAACAGCTGACGACTTGTGGTTGATATACCGTAATCCCACTACGGGCTTTTGTGCAACGTTTATGTCAATGTTGGGCACGTCAGGCTGTTTATCTGACAGCTGTTTCGTATTGACCATGTTAAAAGTTTTCTCTTCGTTCTTTTTGCCTAAAATTCTTCCAACTGGCTTAAAGTTTAACCTGTCTCTTAACTCTTCCAACTAGCTAAAGTTAGACCTCTTCTCTTTATATTTCCTTACCTCTAGAGAAAAAGAAAATAGATCTCGTCTTGAATCAGTGCCAGTTTCTTTGGTGTTTCTAAAATATGATATCAATTGGAGGTCTGAGTCTTTCTTTTTCTATAGTACTTGTGAGGTCACATACCCAGTATGCTGGAGAGGACCAGAGTTTTTACTCTGGTTCATGTTATAGAGGATCCAGATCAGACTAGGAAATATTCAGTTCAACAAGCGTTCTCTCAATTGTTTGGAAGAGTTGAGTTTTTTTTTTTTGGTTAAAATGGAAATGAGCCGTCTAGTACTCTAGTTCGTTAAGTAAGGTTGCTAAAAGATATGCGCAAAATCCTTGGTATCACCAGCTTTCAGTAGCCACAAATTAAATTCTTTTAATCTGATTTCTACAAATGAGCAAAACAAACATTGATATATTAATCGATGACGCTCTCTTTCAAACATATGTACTGCATCCAAGATCCAACGCAACAAAATAGGGTCATTACCATTCACAACAAAAATAGGTGAGTATTGATATTGGATGGTTTAAGCTGGTCTAGACACATCCTTTTTCTCTCAACTAAGGTCGAAGGTTCTCTGTGATGCTCCATTGGGACATTCCACTTTCCATGCATACATTCTTGCTTCTGACAACTGAACCACATATTAGTATATTACAAAGCCAAAACCAGGTTAACTTAATCTCTTCAAACATATGGTTGTAACCCAAACGCTGGATCTGAAATTGGCCCCAATTCCAAACCAGCCCTGCCAGCCCTTAAACCGTTAAACGTTCCAAGTTGTTGAAGTGCGGATCTGGTGACCACTTTCCATGTGAATGATGGAAAATATTGAATAAGAGGGGAAAAGCACAAAATAAATAACAAGACAGGATGCAGGGATTTCTATGTTCTCGGGAAATCCAAAAATCCAATGCTATACAATTTCTTTTGACTGATATAATCAGCAATTACTTGATAGTTTTGACTGTATTTGTTGCAGTACCTCTTTCTTCGCAAAGCCCAAGATTCACCAGCCTTTCTACCATTTCCTTCGCATCAAGCATAATCTCATTAGAAATTTCAGCATTGGATTCCTGCATAAAATGGACCCATTCCTGATTGGTAGTTACATATCGGGATCAGGTCATAAAAGTGATTCATTTCACACCATGCATATACCTGCCAATACACTATTAGGTGTTAAAAATACAAAGCGATACCTCAATTGGCGTTTCTACCAAACGCGTGGTTTCTCTCACCGTATTCTGTATTCTGGTTCCAGATGTCAGTCATAAACGGTGCAAATGCATCCAAATTCTCTCGGATGATCATCATTATTTCATTTTGAGCATATTCAAAGTGGAACAGAAGGTCGTTTGCACTTCTAAGAAGGATTGCTAATGCAGGATTCTTAGGATGTGGGTATCAAAAATAAGAAATACAGTCCGCACGGCTGATTGCCAACCCAACCAAGAGGCGATCCGTCAATATTACAGTCCAGATTGTTGGACAGATAGCCAACAATATTTGTTTTCAAATATGAATGATGAATATCCTTCTCGCTTCTGACGCCACTGACGAGACGAGGGGGCGGGGGGAGTCGTGGCGCAGGCTATTGAATACGCTTAGATGCACATTTCCAACGTTCCTGTGGTTCAATCTCAGTCATCTATCACGTTAACCTAAGCCCAGGCTTGTGGTCTAAGGAATGGACAATCTACAACAAAATGTCGCCCTATTTATTTTTTCTTTTCCCTTGAATTCTTTACAAACCACAGAGGTCGCTGATCAACTGCTATCCAGAGAGTTCATCTACGTGTCTCTAAATATACAAACTACATAATTCATCCAATAGTGCACTTATGGTATACTAACTTTTACCAAATTTCCCATTCCAGTTACATTTAGTGTCGGTAGCAGAAAATGGCAAAGTCCAAAATGAACCCCAGACCAATCAAAGATTAAAGTGACTGACAAGCTGCAGAAAATGCAACAACGTTCCATCCCCTCTCACTTCTGTTAGTTACATGATACATGACCCCATTTACCCTCAAATTACGCCAATAAACATAATGACTTTGTACCTAAACTGACATCATACTTCCTTCAAAGTTCAAGTCAAGGTTGGAGCAGAGGCAAGGCCATCACAACGCCAAAGATGGAAACCAACAATAGCAACATCCAGAAGGGAAATTTATCTGAACCCTTGTTGTTTCTTATGTCATTTAGGGTTTCTCCTCTATTTTGGTCCTCTGGTCCTGTGTCATTTCCAGGTGTTTCATGCAAGAAATTTGGGCCTTCTTCTGGGGGTAAAATAGAAGACGACTGCTTCAAAACAGACTGTTCAGCATGTTGTTGCTCATTGTACTTCTCTACATACTCTGGGAACATCTTTCTGAAAATCGGACTGCAATTCAAGGAAAGAGATCCCACTTAGAATCTGATAGAGGACATCAGCATTCCCTACAATTCAACTATACAAGACTCCCGACCCACCCACCCACCTGGACATATATCCATTTTGGAGTTTTTAATAAATTACAAAGAAACGAGAAAAAACCACATACAAATTAGAAAGAAAAGGGTCTATTGTAGACCCCTTTCCATGCCAATTCACAGTTCGAATGGGGTCCTATTGTTTGGGCCAGGCCTCACAAATACTGCTAGAATTGAAACATATCAATTATCAAGTAATGTGCTGAATCCAAATTAACCATTTTCATTTGAATAGAGAATTATGACCAATAATATATGCACGACAGACTGTAGACCACCCCCTCAAGGTCTATCTAATGGAGACTGAGTTTACGTTTGGATAAGCTTCGAGATTTGTATTTTTAGAGCCCCAATTTTGGGCTTTGTTTTTTGAGGCTTAAAAGTGTTTTGACTATATTTTTAAAAGAAACATTTACCAAATGCTTACAACACATTTTGTCACATTTTTGTTTACCACAGCCCAAAGCTCAAAAGCAGAAGCTTATCCAAACATAAGCTAAGATTCTTATTGCTTCAATATTAGATAGAATTTCCCTGAAAGAAATCAAATCATGATAGTATTGCAAATTAAGATTATTTCTGCTTCATTTATAATTTTTCAAAAATTAAAAACGGATAGAAACATGATTTTACCTCATTTTAATCCATATTAAATAAAATAGAGTTTATGACTTCTACATTAGAAGCATAAGATGGCATAATCAGGTTCAACTTAGAAGTCAATTAAACTATGTGCAATATCTTTTTAACTCATATGATAATATAATCAAGTTTGACTTAGAAATGAATTATCCCACATAGAATGGCTCTCAGCTAAATAAATCATATTCTAGTAAGGGTTTTAAATTAGGAGCCCATTGACAAAATTAAAAGAAATAAAGGAATGAGAAAGTAGAAAACCAGGTCTTGATTGAATTGATTCGAAACACATGAATTATATAAATTGTAAGATTTGCAAAACTGAACCATACGATTCAAATAGTAATTTTAGGATTCTTTTGTACTGATGATGACATCATCAGAAATTGGAACCTGTGTGGAATGGAGCCCTCCACCTTCCCCATACACAACTGAATGTTGATAGGTGCAGTATAGGCAACCCAGGGATTTCAGGTGTATGGTCAGAAACTGTGACGGAAACATACTTCTCATGTACTCAAGTCCTATCAACGTTGGGGACTCAACCAGGGCAGAGCTGACTGCTATCTTGTTGGGGCTAAGAAAGGCATAATGACTTAAGCATAGGAACCTCATAGTTGAAGGGCAATTCTTGGGTGGCTACAGGATGGATGGGCAGAAATCAGGAGAGTTCTTGGAAGTAAAGATCTGCACTTAGAGAGGTTAAAGATTTAATGATGGAATTGGGAGCAAGTATCAAGTGAGACCTTGATTTGCAAAGCCAATCTGATGGGCTGTCAAAACAGAAGGTGGTAAAAGATCAGATGTTTTGGGGATAACCTTCCAAGAGGAGCTTGTAATAGACAATCCTAATGGCAGTTGAGGTTAGCTACCCATTTTATAGTTTGCTATGTACATACATACTTTATTCAACTTTAATAAAAATCTTTTAACAGTTACTGAAAAAAAATAGTAATTTTAGGATAAGATTCAAATTGAAACAATTCATGATTCAAATTATGAATATATCACTTTAACAGCTATGGTCTACATGGGGGTAACCTGTGCATTGTAGGCTGAAGACGCATGCATGCACACACACACACACACACACACACACAGAGAGAGAGAGAGCACTTACCTCTTACAATTAAAAGCGAGAGAAGCCTTTGCCAACCGTTGTTTTTCAGCAACAGTAGTTGAAACACTGCCAGTGGTGGGACTGTTATCCATCTACAACAAGAAGAGAATTCCTTCATCATCATCCATGCCTTATCTCAAATAGGGGTGCAACTTGGGCGGGACCAACCCGAGCCCGAACCAGTCCAACCCAGAATTTTACACGGGTTGGGATTGGATTTTCGGTCCTCAGGCTGGGCTTGGGCCCAAGAAGTCGGGTTTTTTTATTTTCGGGCCGGGCTTGGTCCTAGCCCTTAGGTAGCCCGAGCCCAGTCCAATTATATACATTTATACATATATGTGTATATATGTAAATGTTGCATACATATTTACATATATATACATACATATTTGTACACTAGTAATTAAGCACGTGAGAATTTTTTATATTAATTACTTCAATTTTAGATATATCATAGTTAAGATAAAAATTGAAAATTAACAAAAGTAACAATATGATTAAAAATAAACTCAAATGCTTATAGCAAATGTGTACGTGCATTGCATGTGGAAATTTTAAATTACAATAACAATTATTATTAAATTTTGTATTCCATTTTGTCATAAATAAAAATAATTTTTAACAATTATTTTTATTTATTATGATGAATATATAACATTATAAATGTTCTCAAATGCAACAAAATTCTATACTTTTTCATTGTTTGTTTCTATCTTTTTTAAGTATTTATTATTCAATTATGACATCATGATTTTTTTTTGAAAAGTTGGATCATTGACCCACCATCTAGATAAGAAAATAGCTTTGCTTTCGGATCAGTTTTAAATTATATATTATCTACATTATATAAATAATTTTTACTTATCACACTTAATTTTTGTTTGATATAATTAATATATAATTTTTTATATATTCTTTTTTTTAATTGTACTTTTTATTTTTTAAAGATTTATTATTTAACTATCATATCATCGATAAATCCATTTGACCCAAACCACTAACCCACAACCCAAAAAGGAAAATAGTTTGATTTCTATGTTGACACTAAATTTGGTATTACATTTCCCTCATTGATAAAATTATTTCTTATGTATAATACTTATTTTTGTTCAATATAATAAATGTATAATATTAGAGATGTACCCAGTATTTATTTTTATGAATATATAACATTAGATATGTGCCCAAATTTTTTCTATTTTTGTTATTCTTTAAAATTTTCTATTTAAAAAAAAAATAAATTATTATTTGACTATGACTTCATTTCATTTCTAGGTTGATTTTAAATTTGGGTTTCCATTTTCATCATTAATAAACTTACATTTTATATGTATTTTTATTTGGTATAATGAATATACAATACTAGAGATATGTAAAATTCTTTTTATTTTTTGTATTATATATTTTATCTATTTTAATTTTTTATTATTTAATTATGACATTATTTATTAACCCATTTGGTTGAATTGCTTACCCACCATTGCGAGGGAAGAAAATAGTTTTGTTTTCAAATTATTTTTTAAAATATTTATTTTTATACCATTAAAATTAACTTTGTGGGTTTAACGAGAGAATATACCTTAGTATGAGATTAAATGAGAGAGAATGGAAAAATAGTTTTATTTCTAATTGGTTTCAAATTTTACATTCCATTTCCATCATTAATGAAAACATTTCTTATTTATCATACTTATTATTGTTTAATATGCCAAATATATGATGTTACAAATGTTCCCATTTTTTAATTTCTATATATTTTTGCATTTTATCTATTTTGATTTTTATTATTTAATTGTGGCAACATGTATTGACCCATTTGACCTAACGGTTTAATTTCTTACCACCACTTAGATGAAAACACTATTTTTTCAAGTAGATTTTAAAAGTATGTTTTTATGTTATTGGAATTATTAATTTATTATGCATGGATTTAATTAATAGAATTTAATGATGAAAAGAAACAAAATGCCTTAAATATATGATTCAATGAAGACGAATGCAAATTAATACCTTAGTTGTTGGATTTAATGAGAGGAAATTGAATGCATTGAATATCTTATAATTGTCTCTTCTCAAGTCATTTAATATATATACTCTTTTGCCCTCATTTTTTATCAATAAATGTAAATATGGAAGGGTAAATTTTGTCTTAAAAAAATCCAGAAATATTCCTAAGGCTATTCGTGCTTTTTAAAGTAGTATAAATATAACATTTGTATAATAGATATTTTACATACATACATAAATATATGTATATATATTTGCATAAATACATTTATATATGTATAATTTTAGAGTGGGTTCATTGACCAACCCGAGTGCATCAAACTACAAGGCGGGCTGGGCTCAGGTTGGGAAAATCAGGCTTGACCTCGGGCTTGGGCCTTAAGCCCAAATTTTAGGGCTGGGCCTGGGTTGACCATAAACCCGGCCCAACCCACCCGACTTGCATCCCTAATCTCAAATAAATGGGGTCGGTTGCACGAATCCTGTTTCGCCAATTCAATTTGAAGCCATACCCACTGTTAAATTATTAGTGCTTAAATCATTTCTTACTACTTCTACCCATGTCCTTTTTGCTCTACCCCTAACCCTTCTAGCCCCTCAAACTTGTAACAAATCACTTCTTCTAACTGATGTTGTTGATGGTCTTTTTGCACACAACCAAACCATCTTAGTCTACATTCTCTCATTTTATGACCCATTGGGGCTACTCCTAGGTTCCTACGGATGACTTCATTCTTAATCCCTTTCTAGTTTTTCCTCTCATCCATAGAATTCGCATTTCTTCCACAATGAAACCTTTGACAAGTTTATTTTGGGCCTTACAACTGTTTTATTGAATTTTCCTTTTTAGTCTAAGTGGTATTCGCCTATCACATAAAAGTTCAGATCCACCATTCCATTTTGCCCACCCTGCTCTAATTCTTTGGGTGAAATCCTCCTCAATCTCTCCCTTGTTATGAATTATTGAACCAAGGTACTGGAAATGGTAATATTGAGTTATCTCTTGGTCTCCAATCCTAATTCTTAAATGTGTCCTGATTTACACTCCTATAAGTACTAAATTTACGTGCCATATACTCTGTTTTAGTCTTATTTTAAAACCTCTTGTAAATTTAGTACATGACATGAAGCGAGAAGATAGGAGTGTATATCAAGATATTCAAATACAACCCTTTCACTTTGTGTTGGTCCTTATGGCATGCATGAAACAAGAAGATATTTGAATCAAGAATCCGTCCAATGGGGACTGTTAGTGGCAAAGTTGAGAGAACTCTGATTCAGTGGTCCCTTATTTTGAAGCAGTTCAGAGGTATCAGCTAAGCTCTATCTGAGAGCAGATGGAGCAAAAAATCCTTTTGTGATGAAAATCTCCTTAATTTGCAACGAAATCCTTTTACCATCTATGAAAAAGAAAGTGGCATACATGCATTTATTCATTACTTGGTCTTTTTTCTATTTTACAATTTTCATTTTGTCAACTAATATCATTTGGTCACATGAAAAACATTGATAGGAGAAATGAGGATTAACTTGGTGCAAGTAGAAGGATATAAAAGGGATACCTAAGACCAAAAGGATGTCAACTGAAGTAGCAAAAAATCACCTAAGGTCTTATTATTTAACAGAAGATATGGTTCTTGAGTGAAATCCTAGAAGAGGATTCATGTAACTGGCCTTATATTGTTTGGGTTGAGGCTTTTTTAGTTTAATTCAAATCAATATATCAAAGAAAATATACAACATGCATGAAATTCAAAATCTCAAAACAATTTTAAAGGCTGGACCAACCTAGCTGACTTCTAAATTTTAATGAATGGCCATAAGAACAGATAAAAGCATTTCCTTCATTAGAAAATAGAAATTCTTTTGACAACTATCAAAAAAAAAATCTTGACTATACTTGAAGCCGGGCCAACCATGTTTATCAGCATAGTTCTAGACTTCTAGGTCAATCAGCAAGCTTATCAAAACATGTTCCATCTAATTTCTTGTTCTACATGCTTGCCAGCACAATTAATGTGTAAGGTCCATGATGAGAAAAAGTATGAAACATGGATCTATGCCTATCACTAAAAAGGGGAATTAGTAAAAGTTAAAAAGTTGCAATGGAACTCACCATGAATGACAAAAGTCCTGTAAGTATACTGCATCCACAACCCAATAAAATCAATGAAAGCATATGAAAAATAATTAGAATGTTGAAAATCATAATAATTGAGTTTCATTAATTGATAAGAACTCATTGATGGCAAAGGATAAACTGTATAGAAGGATGCTAGACTAGAAGAAAATAGTGTCCTCGAAGAATGAAAAAGAAATTACTACCATAGCTCCACGGGGATTATTAATTAAAACAGAATAGATTGACCTTACCTCGAGACAGACCACATTGGATTCCAACTTTCTGGATGAACTGAAAGAAGATATAAATGCATCCCAGATCAGTTAAGAAATGGATCACTCTGAAACAATAAATTGCTAATAGAATGCTTAAGAAAAAATAAATTGATAAATAAACTTACAGTCACTCATGGATAAGCATATTTTCTTTTGTGTAATAAACCGTCCATTGGGAGTAATCATGCTAGCCAGAGAAGAACAATTTTTTGTGAGAAGGGAAGTCAAGTCATTATCTTAAGAGTCAGAACACCATAACTGAAAGCAACAGACTATCAGTCGGGGATATTAGTACCTAATACTGGGAGGCTTGAATGGATACTCCGGAGGAAACTTGATTTTCCCATAGTAATATCCACCTTACCATAACAAGTGGAATTAAACGTTTAGGAGGGCAAAGGAACACCATCAATAAGCATCAGAAATGGGCCAGGAGGGCCATAAATGTTTACATATCTTCAGTGCCTTCTAATACCAACAGATGAGATCACATACCTGCAAATGGCGTTCCATCGCTCCCCTCAAGCACATAATCTAAAATGAAAGAGAAAAGGAAATTAAAAGATAATTGTTGTCCCAATATGAAACTACATGAGCAAACAACAAATTGACAACAGTAGAAATACGTAGGAGGTAAGCAGGAAAAAAATTATATATGGGGAAAATATTATCCCAACTTTCCTAGAAAAGTGTAACACTGTGATTTGCTTCAAAGAAAAAGACTTAATTGGTGTTTATCCCTGAACTAGTGCATCTTTGTAAAGCTAATGGTGAGAGTTGCTATCACTTATTAATCTCCTGCCCTTTTGTTTCAGTGATTTCAGATTGGTTTCTCTCTATTTGGTTGCAGATGGACTCCCCTGGCCAAATGTACAAAGCTTATTTGCTTCCATTTCTGTTAGATGGAAGAAAATGGGTAGAATCTTGTGGAGATGCACAAGAGCTGCTGTTTTCTGGACAGTTTGGGAAGGAACCAAAGGATTTTCTCTGATTTAAAAGGCGTGCCTCAGGCGCGCCTAGGCGCATTTTGGGGTATGCGCCTCGCCCAAGTCCTAGGCGCACCCCTTTCAAAAGGCCATGTACCTGATGCACCTTGCGCCTCAGCCCAGGCGTGCACCTTTTTAAAATTTTGCGCTTTTTGCTTCTTTTTTTGAGTCTAACGGCTGGGCTGGGGGCTCTACCCCCGGACCCCCAGCCACGCCCCTTGAGGAAAGCCCAAACGAGTCTATGTTAGGGTTTGAAATTCTTATTTCTCACATAAAAAATAATGATTTTAGAACTTTCATTGCCTTTTAAGAAGATATTTTATGCAATGAATGAATGAACAACATTAGCAAATGGGGGGATTCAAAATGGCTTATATGTTTGCTTTTATTTTATATTTTCATTTGAATACGCTTTGCATGTTATGTTTATGTATTTTAATTTTAGATAATATGTTTTTTAAAACATTTATTTTAAAATTTATGTTTATTTTTTTATTAACATTATGTTTAACATTTTTTGGCTTTTTTTTTTAATTTTCTGACTTTTTTGGATTTTTTCGCTTTTTTTTTTGTAATTTTGCGCCTTGCTTAAAAAGGAGCGCGCCTCAGGCGCAAATTAGCTCTCGTGCTTTTAAAACACTGTTTAAACCATAACCATTAGGGTGTTTCATTGGGTGAAAGTCTTTGAAGCTCTTTGAAGGTAAATCTGCAGATGATCTGTTCAAGAATTGGAAGGAAGTGGATAATTCAGCACCTCTCAAAACTGTGACCTGTCCACTTTGGTCCCCACTGAATGATGGTTTCACTATGTTGAATTTTGAAGGAAGCAGTGAAGGCAACCTGAGCCCTTCAGGTATAGAAGTGTTTAGGGATGGGGAATGGAAAGTTATTGCTCTATTTTCAGGCCCTATTGGTATAGCGATTCACTAAGAGCTGAGGTCATGGAGGTAATAGAAGGGATAAAAAGAGCAAAGGAGTTAAATATCAGAAAACTGATTGTGGAAGGTGACTCAATGCTGATCATTGGCTGGCTACAAAATGAAGAGATGGAATTTGGAAATTTGCCAACGAAAAAAAACAAGGTTTAAGTGGTTGACCCAGGACTTGGAGATAATGTTACAGTGGATTAAGAGAAGTGCAAATTATTTTGTGGATACACTTGCAAAACAAGGGATGGGAAGGGGCAGTTTATTTTGGGCCATGCTGTAATTTGATTTTGTACTCGGGGAAGGTTAAGAGATTTCACCCCTCCTCTTGCTTCCTTGTATCTGTTTCTTATTTTATTAATAAAAGTCTGTTATATATATATATATATTATCCCAACATCCTTCAGACCTTCACTTTAAGTGTTCCAACTAGCTGAACCATCTTGCTGCCAAAAGAAACCACATCTTGTCTGGGTCACAATAAACATCTCATAGATAGAAGTATGGACCAACAGGTACTCAATCTATAGGTAGGTTCGCAGAGTTGCATGACATGTTTATTTATTTATTTATCTCTGGGTCACAATAACCACTGATTCAGTGAGGCATTTGACACCTAAGAACCAAGTCAACTTTTTGCCTGCTTTCCAATCAATGTTAGACCAAATGACTTTGTACTGTATACAACCATCTATCATTCCTTAGGCTGACTCTCTTTCTCCCTCTCAGAAAACTCTATAATGATACAATCTACATCAATGGAGAATTCAGTACTACTACTAACATTCCTCAACTAAAACTTTCCTTTCTGACCATCCACTACCAACACACAACCATCACTAGGAACAGCAACTTGTTGATGGATACATTAAGAGTTCTTTTAATATTTGGAGAAACAGTAACTATTTGTATWTGAGTTCCTGCACCAGTAATTTAATTTTTGGTCAATTTGAGTTTTTTGTTGGTAATTTTTAACCTTTATTAGATATAAAAAAGAACAGATTACATAATAACATGCCAAGCATCCCTCTTTTTTAGGCCTTGTATCTGCYATCTAACCCTTCCTTTTAACTGTTGACGTTACATGCTCCAATAATTATCCCAAAATATCCATCCCTATATACTCCCTAATCAGCCATGGAATTGCTGATCAATGAACCAAGAGAAGTTGGCATCAGCTGCTCTGGTATTTCTGCAATCCTTGACTGTTGTTCTTTAACCAGTGCACAACCACTCTAAAATGTTACTCCTAATTTTATCAATGTCTTAGAATCATCTTGTAGGGCCAAATTAGTTTAAAGAGTAACATTTGTGGTATGGGAGCATGCCCCAACTCTCTCACTCTCTCTCAAGTGGAAGTGGGGTATCTTCTTCGGCCCCTTCCTTCWAGTGTTTWAAACCAACTAATTTGAGAACTTAAACAGATTGTAACCCAACTGAGTTTTTACTATCTAGCCAGGTTAGCATGCATATATGGTTAGTGGGTTCTTCAGATGTTAAGGATACTCTTATGCAGCTACCCCACAAAATAAAGGACAGTTATTACATAAGTTGTATGTGGCATTCCTTTTTTCTTCATTTTTTTTCTGAGAAAAGGTAAGGTAAATTTTATGATAGAAGAGCAAAGCCCACATTACAAGAGAGCATTCCCGACCACAGGACTGTGGTATTCAAACACCCTACAGACACCAAAGAAACAACATTCCCCACAGCAAACCTGACCAGGATATCAACTATATATTTATTTAAGAATAATCTTGTGTTTCTTTCAGCCAAAATTGTTCCTAGATCAGCCTTCCAAAAACATTTGTCTTCACTGCCTAATCCCAGCAATACCCAAGATGACAACAAATCATGCATTGAGGCAGGTATAACCAAGCAAAGGTTTGCAATTTCCTGGTACATTCCTTTTATCTTCATTACACAGTCCAAAGGTTAAAGCACCTGGTTACAGTTTTGCATGGACTCAGACAAGAATCAGAATCTGAAACATGTCTGGGTCCAACTCAGCAAGTCCAAAAAAGTGGGATCTATGAACATGCCTCAGATAAATAATTAAATTACAATTTAAAATGGACAATTTCCTTAAAATAGCCAGAAGCTTTATACGAGAAATAATTGTAAATTAAAACCAAATTAAAATTGGTACGCATGGATAAATGGATTCATAGAATATAAACTTTAAGGAATAGGAAACAACCATCAGATAAACCGTTTTTCCAGGTTGATTTTCTTGTAAGAAGTCTAGTCTCTACCATTGCGGGACTATTTATTGACTATGCCAGATCTGGTGTGGGCTGTTAATAACACAACAGTGTGCTTGGATGGTTGGACCACTAAATGATGTGTCTTGGATTGGACAACTATGAAGAAAAACTGACAAAACACATTTAGGATATTGGAGTGTCATATTGGTGTGGATGGCCCCCTTTTTACTATAAATATCTTGAGCACATATAAAATGAATCCCACATAAGAGATTAACTTGGAAAAATATGTATAGGGATGGATGGTTAAATGGTGTTGCTGATCATGACAATAACCAACCTTATCATAGGAATAGACAACATGCCAAAGGTACATAATCTGTTGCATAGAGGCATCTGTCAGTGAGAATCAGAAATTTGGCAAGTCAACACAGTAGACTTTGGTAAACCCACCTGATTTGTACAATAACCAAGTCAGACATGTACTTTGGCACAATGTTGTAAAACATAGAAGCATGAGAAGAGGTGTTCCACTAGCTGGAGGTGTGAGGTGTAGTTCAGAACACGAGGTCTAAGCCTCCTGAGCACAAAAGAGGTGTTCTTTTCTTTTCTTTCTTTCATTCTTGAGGCATGGATGAGGCCACACCAGAGGCATCTGGGTCATGCAAAATGCATCTGAGGCATATGCCTCAGGCATCCACACCTCCGGGTGTACAACTCATACTTTTTTAAACATTGCTTTGTGAGCCATATACTACTTAACTCATCCTTTCCAAAAATGTGATTTCCGTTCAAAATTTCTTCATTATCTAGACACCCTTCTCTTTCTATGAAACTGTACCTACTATCAAATTCCTATTCTACTTGAGCTGGTTCATCCCAAATACCTACCAAATGGTCCATATCTTATCAGATTGAACAATTAGAACTTTCAACTCCTGAAGACTAGATTGTGCAATCTCTTCTGATTGTATTGTTGGATCCTGGTGATCCTCTTATCAAATCCAGAGTCACTTTCACAACAAGATAGGAACCTGGTCAACAGCAAACCTTGCCAGATTTTATAGCAGCAAGATCTGGACCAATCAAATCCTTACATGGATCAGCTGGTTTTTAAGCATTGCTTTATTCTCTATTCATCTTTATTTTGGATCTGAACCTCTTTCTCTCATAATTTGGATCCACGAGTTTCCTTCTTTACCCATTACATACAACCCTAGTAGGACTTTCTCTTCATTCACTATCAACATGAGAGGATGATATTAAAATCGGCTAATTGCAGAGCACTACCAAGCCTATATGGGAAGGTGATGTCACTATAGTATACACATACCCCCAACCCCTCTGGTTCCTCAATTCAGCTAGCATATCTGCAATAGTAAACTTCAACACACTAGAAATCCATCTCATTTGAGCATCATAGATGCCAATACTTTTTTGATCATGTTGAGAAGATGAACCAAATGCCAGGGCCCACATCCAACTCTATGGCACCAATTGATTGCATTCCTTGAGTTGCTTCAATGGACAGGGGTGAAAACTGGATACTTCTTAGCTGATTGAGCATAAAGCACTTATATTTAACACCCTTAATTCCATTTATGCTGAATCTGTATCCCCAATTGGCACAGTAAAGACTCAATGACCCAATAAATGCTGCAATTTACCATGGAGAAGAACCAATTAGTTCCCCATTGCCCAGGGTTTTCATAGAGCTGCCATCAAAACGAAATTTGACAGCACCAGGACTGGTAGAGGTAAAAAGGCCCGATGAAGAGAGTCATCATAAGATGATTGAAGGGTCCCTCATGAAATCCTAAAGAGAGATCCTTTTAAGCCCCTTAGAAGCACTTGTCAAGAGCTAATAATTGATAGAACATGGCCCTTCAGAACCTTCTTTTTGTAGGTAAGGAATTCATTAACTATCAAATAAAAGAAGGCAACATAAGAGAGGGAAAAAAGGAAACACAAAGAAATAATAGAGAAAACAAAAACATAAAAATGGGGGGTGAGGGCGAAATCCAGACTAATGATCATGAACCACCTCCCCCCCCCCTGCCCGCCCAAAAAAAAGGGAAAAAAAAGAAAAAAAAACTCAGCTGGCCAGCTCATAATCAATCTCAAGCTACACCATCATCATTCAGACATAAGAAAATGACAAAAAATAATCCCAGCCTTAGCCCCCCCCCCMAAAGAAAAAATTAAAATTGAAACTTTCACAGGTTAGATTCTTTACAGTCACATCCTCCTTTTCCCCTTGCCCTTCTTGAACCATCTCCACTCTTTCCCTCACCACCTGTGCCCCATTTTTCCTTCAATGCACTTATGCCCCCTCCTCCAAAGCCTGCATACTCTTTCCTTTCGGAAACTTTCACATCCAAATCACAATGCTCCACCCCAAGATTCAGACTCCTCAGCTGCCCCCATCTCTCCTCTAAGCATCTAAAGCATGCTTACACATAACCATTCCCCACCCTAAAAAAAGGAAAAAGAAAAAAAAAGAAAAAGAAAAAACAATATTGTTGCTCAGTTCAACCATTTCTCCCTCCCTTTCTTTAATACAAATACTCACCCTTCAAAAAAATTATTAAAAAAAAAAGAAAAAAATCCTTGGGGGTGTTTCTGCTAGAACCACCACAATGTGGTGAATAACCTTAATGAAGGGCCAAAACCAGTAAGGTTTTGAAACAATAAACAAACTGTATGAAAAGGCTACAGAAAAAAGGAAGGGCAGATGGCACCAATGGTACAGAGTTCCCATTTAATGGTGGCACATATATGTTGGAAGAGTTGGAACAAGCCTTATATTTGAAAGGTGATCAGTGTGAATGTCTAGTTACTGGGTATTGCTTGGAGTTTCCTGTCTGCATTAGTTCCTTTTCAAATGGAAATAGAGCTTGTTGATTGAATTTTGACACTGCCTCTTTACAGATGGAAACAGATAATTACTAATGGGCATTCTTCCACAATAACAGAACAAGTCATAAAGTATCCTTGACTTTCCCTTTCATCCTAGGTTCTGCATAAGTAGTATACAGTGAAGGGTCAGCTAGAAAAAACATTAATCCATGAGAAAACCAAGTATTTGACATGATTAAAAAAAATTATAAAATCAAACTATGCCAAATAAAATGAGTGCAGAGAGAAGAAATTTTACTTACGCCACTCAAGGATATCATTTGGTGAAGGACGAGCCATAACATGGGAAACCGGCTCCTACAAGTTCATACCGACAGAAGTTAGCCTCTCACAACTACATTAGCAGAGCTAGCTCAGTTTGGTTGGCTAAACGAGCCTCAGCTGAGCTTGGATGGGATAGGTTCTGTTAGATACTACAATATATATGATATATAAATGATATATAATAAATATACTCTTAATCTGGGCTTGGTCCTAATATCAAAACATTATGCAAAATAAGAAGAGTTTAACCAAGCCTAAACTGGGAATTAGTTCACTATCCCAAGCTTGGCCAGGCAAAGCTCAGTTCAGATTGGCTTATTTACACCCATGATAACACCTTCTATTGGAGTCCCCCCCCCCAGGTTATAGAAACAATCCAGGAACTTATCTTAATTAAAAAATGGCCCAAAAGAAGAGCTTAGGTTGACCAGGTGGCAAATGGTTTTAAGCTGAAATTTGCCCCATGAATGAGGGTAGAAAGACAAACATGTCAAACCCTTTTGATCCCCCAACCACATTGTCATGTGAAAAATTCCTCCACCATTTATGCAAGCTCCTTCGCTAAAGGATCAGATCAACAAACCCATTCCCTATATAAATGTACTTCATGTGTATCTTGGGAATATCACATGCACTTGCTGAATCTCAAAGTTGAATAAGGTATCAAATTAACAAAGTATTCATCGTGCCACAAATTAGAGATAAGCATATAAATTGATGTCAAACATGAAAAGGAGGCTGAAAAGGGACAACCATGCAGTTACACCAAGTTTATATGGGGTTTTTTCTTCTCTTTGTTCAGATGTCATATGTAACAGCCAATCAAAGACATCCATGCATGATCTTTTCTTTATGGCCAAGTTTCAAGGAGCAACAAAGATAAGATTTTTTGGAGCTGTGTTCCATTTGCAGTCTGTTGGAGCATTTGAAAGTAAAGACATAAAGGAATATTTTAAGGAACTCAAAAGAGGCATGAAAGAATGTGTTCGGAACCAGGAAAATTGGTTCTGTATTGGATTCTAGTGCAACTAGAATTTGCAAATGCACAAGGAGTTGTGCTCACTTCATTCTTTTGATCTTCTCTTTGTTTGGGTGTAGGTGGAATCCCCCAACTGATGCGCAAAGCTTGTTTGATCCTTCCTTCTTTGGTGGGAAAAAGAAAAGGGGAAGGAGTATGTGGAGATGCACAAGGGCTTCCAATTTGTTGAATTATTTGGGAAAAAAGGAACATCTCTGTTCCTAATTGGTCTCCTCCAGAAAGAGGATTTGTTAGGCTTAATTTTGATTGTAGCAGCTTGGGTAACCTGGGATTGTCAAGAATTGGAGGAGTGTTTAGGGATGAAGAGGGAAAAATACAGGCTTTTTATTTATTTATTTATTTATTTTGAAGGGCTACACAACGGGGGGTAGCCCATCCCCCAACCCAGGTGCAGGTGGGATTCGATCCCAAGTCTCCACTACGACCAGCAGGAGACCTTACCGACCAGCTGGTTGGCACCTTGCAAAATACAGGCTTTTTATTCTGGCCCGATAGGAGCAAGTGATTCCTTGAGAGCTGAAATTTTTGCGCTAATTGAAGTGGTAAAGAGGGCAAGATCTTTAAACATTGGAAAATTAATTATTGAAGGGGATTCCAAATTGGTTGTGGATGGCTGTTAAGTGAGGAGGCAAATCTGAGGAGTTTTAGCAATGAAAGGAAGAAATTCAAATGGTTCACACAAAATATGAAGTGAGAGTTCAATGGGTCAAAAGAAGTGCAAATTCTTTTGCTGATACGACTGCTAAACAAGGGGCAGAAAGAGATCAGTTGTTTTGGGTTCAGTTGTAAAAAAGTTATGTTGGGTTGGGGAGAGATGAGAAGGTTTATCTCTCTCTGCATTTGTTTCTTCATTGTACTCTTGTAATCTGTTTCAATTTTTAAGGAGTTTTCAGTTACTAATAAAAAACAGATAAAATAAAAAGAAATTGGAGACTGTGTAAACAATTTTTCAATAAAATGGAAAAGATGAATCAACCTTGCTAAGGAGTTGCAACAAAGGAAGGGAATAAGAACCCTGGTGAATGATCAACAAGGAAATATTATCAGCCTTCTGGAAAGTTTCACAGTGCAAACTGGAGCATGGGTAGCTTAATATGCACTTATTTTTCCTTCTTTCTTTCTTTTTTTTTTTTTTTTTGAGTGGTAAGACGTGGAACTTTGTACTAAAAGGAGGGAGAGATTCCATCAACATAATATGTAGATACAAGAATGATCATGCACATTGATTACAAGTATTATATATTCATAAAAAGTCTTTATATTTGAAAACCCTTCTCCCAAAGGATTCTCTGCTATTGATTGCTGAAAGCAAAATTTAGGAGATAGATGTTTCATAAAAAATACAAGATGCACCAAGAACTTGCATTTGCCAGTTCTTTCATTCTGGCAAAAAAATTGGGTGCCATCAAAGCAAGATTAAAGATTTGGAAATTGGAGAAAAATATGAGTTTAGACACTGAAAAGAAAGCTCTCTTGAGTACCATAAAGGAAATTGATTCAGCAGAAGAGTTGGGTCCTATATCAGAGGAACATAGATTAAAAAGATCTCAGGCAAAGCTGAAGTATGATAAATTGGCAGTGTCGGAAGAAATTAAATGGAGACAAAGAGCTAAAGTGGCTTGGCTTAAAGAGGGGGACAGGAATACACTTCTTTCACAAAATGGCAAATGCAAGAGCTAGAGCCTTCGTAATTAACAGGTTGGAGGGAGAGGTCAGAGTGGGTGTCTCTGAGGCAGATATGAAGTTAGTGGCAACCAGCTTTTATAAAAAGTTGTACAAGGAGTCCTAGTTCTTCAGACCTTTTCCTAGGTCCCTTCCTTTTAAATAGTTGAGTGAGGTGCAGTCTTCTCTTATTGAAAGATCTTTCACGGAGGAGGAAATAAAAGCAGCAATCAAGTTGTTGGCTGATGAGAAATCTCCAGGGCCTGATGGTCTTACAACCCTTTTCAATATTAAATGTTGGGATGTTGTGAGACAGGATATTCTGAATGTCTTCCAGGACTTCTATGAGAGAGGTTCCTTGTAGAGGAGCTTGAACACTACCTTCATAACTCTCATTCCGAAGATTGAAGGTGCAATGAACATTAAAGATTTCAGGCCGATTAGTCTTTTGCATAGCTTCTACAAAATCTTAGCTAAAGTTCTTGCTGAGAGAATGAAAGGGGATCTAGGTAGTGTCATCTCCAATAACCAAAGTGCCTTTGTTCCGGGTAGACAGATGCTGGACTTTGTACTTATTGCTAATGAGCTTATACATTAAGAAAAAAGAAGGTTCCTCCGGGCGGATTTGCAAACTTGATATTGAAAAGGCTTATGATCATGTCAATTGGAGATGTGTTGATCTTGTGTTATAGCATATGAATTTTGGGTAAAAATGGAGGAACTGGGTTAAAGTTTGTATCACCTCTCCAAAATTTTCAGTTTTGGTTAATAGACGGYCTGCAGGCTTCTTTGATAGTTTCAGGGGTCTTAGACAGGGTGATCCCCTGTCTCCCCTACTCTTTCTATGTGTAATGGAGATCCTCACTTTGTTCTATACAAAGGCTGCTAATTCCGGTGAGTGGGAAGGCTTTGCAATTTCTCCGAGGGGTGAGAAGGTGAACATTCTCCAATTTGCAAATGATACGTTATGCTTTGTGGATGCCTCCCCCTCCCAGGTGGAATTAGTTCTTGGGATCTTATCTTGGTTTGAGGTGATTTCTGGCCTTAAAGTCAATTGGAATAAGAGTCAAATAATTCCAGTGGGTCAAGTTTCCAATTTAGCAGATTGTGCAGGCATTTTGGCTTGTCAAATTGAATCCCTCCCAGTCAAATATTTGGGTCTCCCTCTGAGGGTGAGTTGTGGTTTATCTTCAATTTGGGGCCCAGTAATTGAGAGAATGGAGAGAAAACTGGTTTCTTGAAAGGCAAAATACCTTTCTTTTGGGGGTAGGGTGACTTTGATTAAGAGTACATTTTCCAATTTACCCACCTATTTCCTTTCTCTTTTCTCTATTCCAAACAAAGTTGCAAGCCAGCTTGAAAAACTTCAAAGGAATTTTCTTTGGAGGGGGATGGGAAGAGGAGAAAAAAGTGCATTTGGTAAGTTGGGAGTAAGTCTACCTCCCTAAAGATGAAGGGGGGTTAGGCATAAGGAAGTTGGAATCTTTTAATTCTGCCCTCCTCTGCAAGTGAATTTGGAGATTTGCAGCAGAAAATGATGCCTGGTGGAGATCTCTCATTGCTAGTAAATATGGTGTGGAATGGGGTAATTGGAGAATGAGGGACCCTCCTCCCAATTGGGGAAACTCTTTGTGGAAAGGGATAATGAAAAATTTCTCAGCTCTTGCTGTTGGGGTCTCAATTAAAGTTGGCAATGGTATTAGGACCAAGTTTTGGAAGGACTCTTGGTTTTCGGATGGCCCTCTTGCTGGTTCCTTTCCTCTCCTCTTCTAGTGCGCTTCAAATCAAGAAGCTTCAGTTGTAGAGTGTTGTAGTGTATCTGGTGGTTCAGTTCTTTGGTCTCCTTCATTTAGAAGGAACCTTTTCGACTGTGAGGTGGATGAGGTTTTGAATCTGTTGACCTGTCTTCAGAATCAAGAGTTGGATTTCAGCTCAGAGGATAAGTGGCAGTGGAAGTGGAACTCAGATGGTGTGTTCTGTCAAGTTTCTGACTTCTAACCTCTGTAGAAGGGGTGTTTCTGATTTCCCGTCATCAGGTGTGGAATCCCACCAGCCCAACTAAATCTAACTTCCTAGTTTGAACTATGGCTCTAAATAAATGCCTTACTAGAGCTAACCTTATGAGAAGGGGCATTCAGCTTTTGGACCTGTCATGCAGCTTGTGTGAGAGTAGTGCTGAATCCACTGATCATTTGTGCATTCACTGCCCATTTTCTTCTCAGCTGTGGAATCATTTCTTCAGCTCTATGAACTTAAGTTGGGCCATGCCAAGTTCGGTTAAGGAGCTGTTGTGTTGTTGGAAGTTCTTGGGGTTGAGCAAGAAAAATAAATTGTTTGGAAGACTATTCCTAATGCTGTGTTATGGTCCATCTGGTCTGAGAGGAATAGAAGGATACTCTGTACCAAGGCTTTAAGTCCGGAAGAGCTAATTTAGAAAGCAGTGGGCAAATTGGTTTCTTGGGTGTCTTTGTCTGGGGATTTCAGAAATTGTAATGTGTCTGCTGTTTTTCTTTCTAGTTCTTGGTGGAATGTGTAACTGCTGATTAGATCAGTCGGCCTTTCTAGGAATGATCTCAGCCTCCCTTGTGTATCTCGTCTCAATAAATATTACTTTACCTTTTTCCAAAAAAAAAGTAAATTTACAAAAAACAGATAGATAAATGAATACATATGCAGACAGGCATACTTTGCAGAGTGCTCTATATTCCTTCTGAAGACGCTTTACACAGGACTTATCTGCCATTATATAACAGCTTCAGAATGACACCAAGGTTAAGAGATCCAGATTTCTAAATGGTTCCTTTGGTTCTTCCACCAACAAAGCTTTAATTTGTCAAACTGATGAACATAAGAAGAATAATTAGATTACTCATTGCACATTAACAAATTCATTAAATGTATAAAACAGAAAATCTCATAACAAATACAGAATACTTTCAAATAATAAGCACAGTAATCTTCAATTAGGGGAAATGGAGCATATATTGTTTGGCCCCAGTAACCCCAACATCAGGGTGTTACACCCTTGATGGAGCAAGGACATGATTGGAAGACATAGAATTGTTATTTACTGGAACATATGACAACGAATTTACAGAATTTGGAATAAAAATTGACACCAAATGACCAAATATGGATATCAAACAAAAATGGGGATACAGCTACCTATTTCCTAAGGAACCCAGACTATCCCAATTAATATTCTTATATCATATTTTTTATATCTAATTGCTTAAGCTGTGCCATTTCTCAATATTCATATCCTGCAAAATTCAGTTGAACTTTAAACATGTATAGATTTGATTATGATAAGGGTGGTTCATTGGGCTTCAATCAAAGAGGAAGTCAAATGAGCTCCCATGGATTCTTAATTGAGAGGATGGTCCAGTATTGCCAGCTTAACACATTAAAGGCCCCAAACAATCCGATCCTGTGTACTAGTAGAAGATTGAAAGCATAAATTCAACTTTAATGGTTGCAGCCTAAGAAACCCAGGTCAGTGGGTATTAGAGGGGTCTAAGGAAAACACAAAGTATCGATACTCTCGAAACAGAAATTTTAACTTACCGAGAGTTTTTATAAATCAATACTCTTTTATCTTTTATTTTTAATTTAACATTTCAACAGTGGATATGTTAATCCAGGATTTAACATACAAAACAATCAGAATTAACAAAATCTTATCCATTAGCATTTCAATGACCATGAAAATCGATAATATTGATTCTTTGAACCTTGGGTGTAAGAGATGACAATGAACCATTATTCTAAGTTTCTCAGCCCCTGTTGGAACTGGAAACTCTTTGAGAGCTGAGATACTAGCTCTCCTTCAAGGTCATAGATCATCATCCTCTTTCAACCTTTCAAATTTGACAGTAGAAGATGACTTTCAAGTGGTGGTCTCATAACTCTTTTTAATATTTTTAAGTCATGGGGCTCTAGAAATCTGATTAGAAAAGTAAAGTTTTTGAACCAACATGAATTGCTTGTTCAAGTGAACCCCTAGATCTATTAATAACCTTGCTGATGCATTAGTGAAAGCTGGGATGCAAAAGATGTTCTGGTTTGGGGGAATTGAGGTCCAAGGATTGACCTGTAACAAAATGTGTTTATACTTTATACTGGTGGTCTTATGGGCTTGAGGCATCAATACTCATTTCCACTTCATTGAAAATGAGGTCTCTACTTTTCCATTATCAATGAATTAGTTATCAGTTATCAACTATAGTAAACAGTATTATACTATTTTAATATTCTAAAACTTTTATTTCTAAGTATACCCTGAAGTGCCCATGTTGTATCTGGTGTCATATCAGATACATATCATATCTGACAGTGGAACCAATATGCTAGTGTAATAAGATGAATAAGTACAGAGAGCATAGCTAAGCTGAGATCAGCAGCAACTCCAAAAGACACATTCCCAAACACAGGAATGAGAAAGTCTAAATCTCCCCAAGGTAGGTCCTAAATATAACTTTTTCCTATCAAGTATTAACTCTGCTAGCAAGAGAGTTAGTGGACCTTTGTATCCATCTAAATGAGATGTTCATGGTGGATGACAAAGGCCTCATTTCTTTAAATAGGGGTTGTGATAAGGGATGCAAAGGGTGTGGTACCATTAAGCTATTCAAACCTGTTTTCAGTAATTCAGTAAGGACAGAAATGCTTGCCCTATTTAAAGGGCTGAGTCTGGCTTGATCTTACAACTACTTGAACCTAATAGTGGAAGGTGACTACCAGGTGGTTTTCTCTTGGTTCCATTCCTCAGAAGGTCCTTGGGTTTTGAGGCATTTGATTGGAGAGGCTAATATATCCAAGGCGTGGTATTTCATGTTGATACCTAGAGGCTACATCTGCAAATAGTCTTGCTGACTCTCCATCTAGCAATAGAAGGAGGTTGGATCAAAGCCGGTTTGGGGAGTTACAGGTCAGGGTTCTAATTTGTAACTTATGAACAACAAAATCTGTACTTTTTTTTCCTTTCCATATTTTAGGACAGCTCCTTCCATCCCCTTAGAGACAATTCTAAGCCCCTATAGGAGGGCAGCAAGTTCACCCTTCATTGAGTTTACTACACCAACTAGTCCGCCATAGCTTAATAGAGTTCTGCTTGTATGATCTATGAAAATAGCACCAATAATTTATAATCATGGGTTCCCTAGGATCAGCAAGTGGATGAATTCAACTTTCAGTTCCCAATAAGCCTCCCAACTAGCCTTCATATCATAGTAAAGATCTTCTCCCTGAGATTGAGAGAAGTCCTGGAATTTGTGGCTTCCCTTTCTCAAGGGTCTTTTTTAGAGGGAGATAAAAATATAAAATCAGGACAAATTTTAGTAGGTAATGACGTTGAGAATGATGTTAAGGTGCCAAGATGGAAGGTTTTTATTTTCAAACATAATTTGGAGAAAGCAACATGATCATGTTGATTGGGGATTGTTAGAACGAGTACTCTCTAAAATGGCTTTTGGGAGAATATGGATCTCTTAGGTGATACGTTGTATCAGTTCCATAGAATATCTATTCTAATATGAATGGGTAACCAATCTTTAAAGCTTCCTGGGGGTTATCTTCCATGTTTTTTTTTTCCTTTTTTTATCAATAATACAACTTTCGTTGTTTTTTTTTTTTTTTTGAGAAAATTTAACCAGTCTTTCATTTTTTTATAATTGAAAAGTTATTTTATTTACCAATATATAAGAAAAGTTACAAGCACCCCAAAGAGAGGCACGAGGTGTGACCACCCTTGAAAGTATAAGAAAGTGTAAGAAGCCAACAATGCACTAGAAACAAAGCATTACAAGGTTGCTCAGTACAAATGTTCCCTCGATACCCCTGGTTTAGCAAGATAATCAACCATAGCATTTGCTGACCTGCTCACCCAATGTGATCTAACAATCATGTTATCTGTTAACCAGCTTGCCTTCTTTAGGAAATCCCTATAGCACAAATGACTAAGCTCGGGCCTGTTAACCAGCAGCATACAACAACCTTAGAATCTCCTTCAATTAGAAGATTCTCAACTCCTATTTGATTTGCTATCTGAATACCCTGTAGAGCCGCCAATAGTTCAGATTTGATTGAGTCTCCTATTCCCACTGGCCCAAAGAATAAGGCTAAAATGTTGCTACCATTATCTCTCAAAACTCCTCCTATGCCTAAGGGGCTAGGGTTTCCTTGACTTCCATMAAAATTCAGCTTAACCCAATTACCCAAGCCAACCTCCAGGTGGTGGGGTCCAAACTACAGTAATTTTTCCTTCCTGGAGGAACTGGTTGCCACTGATTACCAATTCCTCCAAAAGTCATCAACAGAGAACAAGTGGAAAGAATCCAAAGTTCTCAGCCAGTGAATTGCCCTTGTTAAGATACACTCCTTGACAAGTAAGAGACTTCGTTCCTTTTCTTGAAAGATTCTTGCATTCCTTTCTTCCCAAATTGTTCAAAGTGCAGCAACTCTAATACATTTCCACATAATCCCCCCTCTTTCAGTGGGCCACACAAAGATTTTTTTTTTATAGAAGAAAAATTGGAGATAAAACAGCTTATCTCCAAATTAAAACATTACAATTGAGCCCAAAAACATTTGATTTCTCCCAGCCCCTAGTCTTGCCAAAGCATCAGCCATGCTGTTAGCCAATCTTTGAACCCATTGAATTCTTACATCCACACCCCTAAATTATCCATTTAATCTTCTTTAACTCGTTTTTATACACCCATAAATTATTCCCTTTGTCTTGCAGCCAATTAACCACCAATTGAGAATTCCCTTCAATAATCAGCTTGTGTACATCTAGCTCCTTTGCTTTGATGACCCCTTCCACAGCTGCCATTACTTCAGTGTTCAGAGAATCCCCAATGCCAATTGGACCAAAGTAAATTGCCACCACCTGACCTAACTCATTTCTGAACAAACCTCTCACACCTAAGGGGCCTAGATTCCCTCTGTTATTGCTATCAAAATCTGGTTTACATACTTCTCRGTGGTGTCGAAGCCAAACTAATCCGGAATTTTAATGATGAATTAGCCACTTCCTATAGAAATCATCCACCGAGAAATCTGAAACAGATTTAGAGACTTTAGCCAATGAACAACTCTGATGGTGATGCATTCTACCAAGGCTTCCTTACTCCTTTCTTTTTCAAGGAAGATTCTTGCATTTCTCTCTTCCCAAAGCGTCCATGTTTTTTTATCAATAACTGATATTTCATTGATGGAGAAAAAGGAGTAAGTACAATTAAGGAATACAAACAAAAAGAGATAAACCCTCTTATCTCTCCCAAAAGAACTCTTTCTTCTTTTTATGGTTGTGCCCAAAGTAGTTGATCCCTTCCCACCTTTTTTTCTTTGAATTGTAAGGTAAACTAATTCATTAAAAAACCATAAAACCAAAAAACAATAGAACCCCCATACAAAAAGAATCTGTACTAAAGGAAAGCCGATATACCCAATACATCCAACCCCAAACCAAAAAGAAAACTATAAGCTCCTTACAAAGAGGAAATCTTGATCAAAAAAAGAACATTTGAGTCTGTTTTTTAATAGTGGGTGATTAGCCAACCAGGAACACACCATTCCCAAATCCTTTTATAAACCTCTTCTTTTGTACTTTGTCTCCCTTCAAAAATTCTACTATTTCTTTCACACCACACTGCCTAGAAAACTGCTGTGGGGAGGATGCTCCAAATTACTTTTCCAACACTGCTTAAGCCTCTTAAGAACCAAGTCCCTATGAATCCCTTCACATCATCCAGGGTGCACATTTTAACACCGAACAATTCCAACAGTCTTACCCAAACCCAGTAAGCAAAGTGACAGTGTAACAACAAATGGCTAGAGGATTTCACACTTCCATTACATAATGTGCAAGCCATATCCACCACCTCTACTAAGTTAAACCTAGTTAGGATCTTGTCCAACACCACAGACCAAACAAAAAAAGAAAAAAAAAAAAAAAAAACAGCTAGTTTAGATGGTATAGTCCTGATCAAAACCTGTCACTTGGAAAGGAAGAGGTATCCTCCCTTAACAAGCTGTTAAAAAAGGATTTCACAGAGAAGGTATTACTCAAAGAGCCATTTCGTTTTGTCCTCCCCTACACTAGATGTTCTTTGAGTCATATAGAATCTGTAGAAAACTGACCAAAGAAGCCACCTCCCAGTCATTTAAATTGAGGGTTCCAAATACAATGCCCATTTTGCCTCTCCAAACAATCAGCCACTGTTACATCCTTATTTACAACAATCTCGAACAGATCAGGAAACAAAACCTTTACTGAGTCATCCCTACACAAGTAGTCCTTCCAAAAAAGCACCCTATAACCATTACCCACTCCTTATTTAGACAAAGCATCAGCTACTGAATTTGCACATCTTTTAACCCATTGCAACCTCACTTCCATATCTTGTGTCAGCCATCTGAACTTCTTTCTTTCATTGTTGTAGCTCCACATCTTTTAACCCAAAGCATCCAAATTATTGCAGCTCTTATGCTTCTCCGCGTGACTCTACCTCTCTTATTAGGTCAAGCAAAGGAGGAGGGAGCAAAGAGGCCTAACATATTGGAAAGAGGGGTCCACCTCCAACCAAACAAAGCAATAAAGCAATCCCAACTACCAATAGCAAAAGGGCAGGGGATTAGTAGGTGAAAGCAGGATTCACCATTTGTCTTGTAGAGAACACACCAATAGGGAGAAGCAAGCGTGAGATCTTCCTTTTTGTAGTAAGTCACATGTGTTAATCTTCCCATGGTAGACCTCCTAATTGAAAGCTTCAATTCTAGGCAGGATTGGTTTTGCCCGGATATCTTTCTCAGGAAAGGACTGAAGAAGACCCAAAGGAAACTAGAGCCTTAAAGAACAAAAGACATGAGAAGGAGCCCAAAGGTGCAGGAGTCCAAATTCATCTGTCATGTTTCAAAAGGATCCAAATAGATACCTTCTAGAATGTTTAACAAATCTAACACCAACAGAATCAAAGTCATGAGGAGCCCAAAGGCGCATTAGATATGATGTAGCATCTGAAAATAGAGATGAATTTTGGGAAGGTTTGTGGCGGGTGATAAACTCCTTGTCATAATTTTCTTAGGTTATATTCTTTGTTCCTACATAAGAACCTATTTGGGACCAGATTTCTTTACCTCTGACAGGTATTCATTGGTCTAARTTGCTCAAGGAGGGATCAAAGAATTTGGTCTATTGACCTCTAGGTATATTTTTTTCTTGTGCTTTTTTTTCAAAGTCCCTGACCTTTCTTACCCCAACTTCCTCCTTTCCCACTGAGTGTTCTTTGGATTGGTCCATTCTTCCAAAAATTAGAATGTTTTATTAGAAAGCATCAAAGCAGAAAAAATAATAACAACAACAATAAACACCACTAAGGTGCTATATTGGAGACAGGACATTTTATGCCTCTCCCCTCATTTGTGTTTGTGTATCATCTTTTGCTCTTGCCAGTTTGTTGACAATGTGTGAAAACAATTTTTCACTATTTTTGGGTTGTCTTGGAATCTCCATATTGATATTTTAAATCTCTCCTCTTCCCATGCATCCACTTTTCCCACAAAAACAGGAAGGTTGTTTCTCAAATTGCACAAGAGCAGCATCCTTGCAGAGCACTTGGTGCAAAAGGAATGCAATTGACTCTATCATAGTGAGATGTGGGAGTGGCTCATTGTGGGGTGGATGATTTATATAGTCCACCTTTATCCTTTGAAGATAGCTAGCAACTACTTCCTAGATATATCCAAAATTTGGAAGGATAAAAATGAATTTGGATGGTTATTATCTAGAATCCTGCCGAATTATTCAGGCACAGCTAGGAAAAGTATTACCTTTTAAGGGCTGAACTAACTGCTCTACTTCAATGTCTTAAACTAGCTTATTCATCTTTGAATTGTTATCGTTAGGTTCAGTACCCCCCCCCCGGATTAATTAGGCTACATCCTAGGTATTCATATTGAAAAATTTTGTCCAGATGAATCCCAAGGTGAGCTGAACCTTTTGCTAACAACCTGGGAGGAGTTAGGTGTATGGGGGGTGCTTCCCTCCCGGGTCAGTGGTTTTTTTGGGTTATATTTTATTTTTGTACGTTTTGTAGATTGTGCAATCCATTCTTTGGGAGGCATCGCCTAGGGAAGCCAAAATAACTAGTCACTATCCTGCCTCCTCAAATAGACCAGTGAAGAATTGTTGAATTCTAGAGACAGATTACTATACAATCACCTTTCTGCACCATCATCTAGAGAGATATAAACTTGGTGTTAAGAAAACCGTAAAACACTTTAAACTTATTCTTAAGAAGACTACACACAGTTCAGACTTCATCCAGCTAGTTGGGATAAAGGTGTTCCCATCTAGAGCATACGACCACACTCCAAAATACAAATTCAAAGACAAAAAACAAAATTAAATGGATACAAGACAAAAATAAATTAAGAAAAACAAAAGGGAAATGCATGAAAAAATATAATCCTTTTAATGACTCTAAACAAAGAATAATCAAATATGAATAGAAACAATTGAAGATTCATTCAAAACCGAGCAGCAACAACAACATGTAAAGATTCAAACAGTTCCATGTAATATAGCAGAAAAAGAACGAAACAGATGGCTCGATTACCTGGAATTAGTCTAGCTCCGCCCTGGGTACAATGACTCGGCAATTCGATTCAAAGAAGAACCAGAAATTATCAGAAGCAGTCAACACCGATGAGCTAGAAAAATCACGAATTATTTCCCTTTCAGATCTCCGATTCGGCCCATCAATTCTCCGACTACCCCGATCGAATTAGGTTTATTATTGGCGTTGCGTTCGCAGAAGGGGAATCCGACCTGAAGGACACTTATTTATTTATTTTCTCTATTTTCTTTTTAATGTTCTTGAAAATGCTCTCCGTACTTGCGGTCAATGAGCGTCCGGGAACATTCACTAGGAGACAGACTTTTGATGGTGCAAGGAGAAATCATTTCTAGCCCGACGCGGCCCGGCCCATAAATTTATGGGCATGGGCTAGGTTTTGTGTGCAACAGTGCAAGCCCGACTCGCATTAGGTCCGAAAATTTGCAAATGGTGGTTAGTTTTGCAAGATGAATCCTACATCTCTATATATATAATTCGCCCGATATTGAAGAGTGATTATCTTGCCCTGAACCTGTGTGACACTAGGAACGAGGCGGGGATGGGGTAGAGTATCTTGAATATGAGACAGGAAAAGGGATGGGGTGCTCTGCCGTGAACCCATCCTGTTGTCATTCTTATATAATTATTAATTATTAGTGGAATTATTAAAAATATTAGCTTTTATAATTTTTTTATTTATTTAAAATTAATCAAAATTTCATTTAAAATAATAAAAAAGAATAATAATTATTAAAATTACCATAAATTATTAATAAAACTAAATTTATTAAAAAATATTTGTTCATATTCAATTAATAATTATTATTTTTTATAAATCAATATTAAATGAAAAATAAAATTATTAAATCTTTCAAATTTTCTCATGCATCGCACGGGTCCCTGCTAGTTCTATCTTAAAACTATTCCAAAAATCTCTCTCTACCAAAATCTAATCTAATCTAGCCAAGTGGCACCACTATCCCCCACTTTCTCCTAAATTATCTCTAATTTAATAGAATTTTTCTCATAAAATATCTCAAATTCCTATTAATATTCTCCCCCACTTTTCATCTATATCTATCAAAAGAAAGTTTGAAGTAAAAATTTAACAATTATTTAAATATTATAATAAAATTATGTAATAACTTTAAAATATTTATTAAAAACACAAAAAAATATCATATATATATATATATATATATAATAATATTCATATTATTAATAGTTTTATACTTTTATGAAATTCATAACGAAACTGTGTACTAACAATATAAATTATAATTCTATGAATTATTTAATTTAAATATTATTCAAATAATAAAAATTAAAAATTAAAAAAATCTTATTTAAAAATTTTAATAACCAAATAATAAAAATAACAAAATATTAAAATATTATATAGAAAAATATTTAATAATATGTAATAACTTTTAAATAATGAAAATTTTAAATAACGAAATTATGTAGTAAATTTTAAATAATTAATGTAACTAAGTTTTAAATAACTAAATTTAGTAATAACAAATTTATGTAATAAATTTTAAATAACTAAATTTTAAATAGTTAAAATAACAAAATTATGTAATAAACTTAAAAATTTTACTAAAAGTAGAAAATCGTTATAATAGATTTCATAATAGTTGAATTAATAATAATTTTATATTTTACAAAATTAATAACAAAATTATGTAATAATAGTATAACTTATAATTTTATGGATTATGAAATTCAATAAATAAATAATACTGAAATAAATAGTGATATTATTTAAATAGATGAATAATATTGTAAATAACTAATTTTAAATATTTTAAATATTACAAAAGTTAATAACTAAAGCATATTTTAAATATTATTTAAAAATAAATAAAATATATTAAATAAAGAAATTATGTAATAACCCTAACAATATTACGTAACACAAAAGTTTTTAATAGATATTAAAAAATAGAATAATAATTGCAATGATTAATGTACTAATAATAAAGACATTATTTAACTTGTATCAATTAATAATTCTAGAAAATAACTTTCAGAAAATTGATTTATTAGTAATAATTTTAAAATCTTAATCTATATTTATTATGTATTTTTCAATATTTATGTATAAAGCTATTTTTTATTTGTTATTTAATAGAAAATTTTCAATCTATAGATAGATAGATAGATAGATTCTACGTCATGGCCTGAGCTTTCTCCCTTATCCCAACCAAGAACTCTTAGACACTCTTAAATTTAGCCTTTCTTGCTCCCTCATGAAGCCACCTCATCACTCCCTTCTCCCTTTCTCATAATGAATTATTTAATTTATTTAGTTAATTATTAGTATTAATTAACATTATTTTTATGATATTTTTTAATTATTTAATTAATTAATAGTATTAGTAATACATTATTTAACAATATTTATTAATTAATTATGGTATTTATTTTATTAAATACCATAATTAATAAAAAATATTGTTACAAAAATGTTTCTAATATTTTTAATAATTAACTAAATACCATAATTGATAAAATTATTTTTAATTAATGAATTAGAATTACCACTTAATTAGATCAAAATACAATTAATTAATTGTATTTTCATAAATATTATTTATTAATTAAATAAATACTATAATTAACAACAAGGATATAGTTAAAAAATACCATAATTAATTATGGTATTTATTTATTTATTTTAGGTATTTTGGTAATTTTGGTAAGCTTGAGGGTATTTTAGTGAATTCAGATTTAAGGATACCAAAACAAAACTCTAATCTAATGGTGGGTACTTTAGGTTAATAAAAATGAAGGGTGGAGATGGATTTGAGTATATACAATGCTTTTACATGTATAGACCAATGAAATTAGTCAAAATGGAATCTTTTTATATGGAGGGCAAGCAAGGGTAATTTTGACTAAATTTTTATAAGGTGGGGTTTTAGGCATTTTGAATCGATTGGTGGGATCAGATTGGCCTAAATATGGTCAAATTAGGCAGATCTAAAGGAGTAGTGTTTCATTTAATTTATTAATTTTGAAATAAAATCTTAGTGTGGAGGGAAAAAGATGGCATTTTTTGTTGAAATTTGGTAGAGTGGTGTTTTTGAGAATTATGGGTTAATTGGTATGGTCATATTGGCCCAATTATGTCGAGATCAGGAAGATTTGGAAAGGACTTAATCCAGTCAATGCAAAGCTTTGAAATAGAATCTTGGTGTAATGAAGAGGCAAACAAAGGTATTTTGGGCTGATTTTTTGTGGGGGGTTTTAGGGTGTCTAGGATCTTATGGAAACATCTAATTGATTTTGGAGGGCCAAAATCACGAAAAAATTGGGCCAATGAGAGCATTCAAAATGGAATATTTATTCAATGATGGGGTAAATAGGGGGATTTTAGGTTGAAATTTATGGGTATATGTTTTTTATGTGTCTAGGGTTCAATTGTATGGTTTAATTTATTCATGTGTTAGGATCAAGGAGATTTGGGTTGTGGGTGCTTCAGGATAACGATAGGGTTCGCAAGGGAATCTTGGTTTGATAAAAAGAATAAACAGGGGATAATCTTAGGTTGAAATTTTAGGGGTAAATATTTTAGGAGGTCCTAAGTCTGATGACAGTAATCGGGGAATTTGAGGTACTTCAGAATGATTGGAATGGTCTGATCGGGTGTTTAGGGTAAATTGGGGTTTCAACAGCAAATTGAGCAAAAATTAGGTGCTAACAATATGGTTTCTAAGGGTATTGGTCTCTTGGATCATTTGGTGGGGTTTGATTGGTCCATAAATGGTATGATCAAGAGCATTTAAGAAATGAATATTTTGGTCAATGAGATAACCCAAATTAAAATCTTAGCATGATAAAGCGTTAAATGGGAGATATCTGTGATGAAATTTTATGATAAGATGTTTATATGTATCTAAGGCTCTTTAAAAGCCCATTAACTATAATTTGCATTTTGGTTAAAAAATCTCGTACATCGCATGGGTTCCGACTAATAGAAAGCGAAAGTCTACAAATTATGTTTGGTGAAAATTTCCAAAAGCCCAATTAGTATATAATTTAGCTAAGAAATATATTTTTTAATAAAGCTAATTTCAGTAGTTTCGCTTACTTAATGCAGCTCAATCAACACTGTAGCCATCTAAAAAAAAGGTTCTTAGATGTTAAATATAATCTTTGAATTAAAATAGAAAACCAAACATTAATTAGAACATAGGCTCCGAACAGGATACACCAGCTTTTAAAATAAAGTAAAACATCACATAAATTGATTTTTAGCTGTAAACTTGGGCTGGGATTTTGTTAAAATTTCAATAGGCGCAACACGAAYCCGTATCGTCCAATGTAGTGTAAAATGGGTATTCCGGCTTGCACTCCCTAATTATTATTATTACTTTTTTCAAATACTAATCATTGATGTGCTCGCCCCTGGGTTCGCGTTCATAGTAGAGTATTTCTGACTTCAAATTTACGCCCCACAACCGAGCGCCCCCACACAATCGGCCTCTTGCACGATTTCCTTCCTCAGCGTGCGTAGAGTTAACGAGAAGGCCGTTAGCTCCAAATTCCCGCTACTTCGAGTCTCGACTTTCGATCCCTGCGGAGATCTCACATTACCTCTATCTTCAAAGCTACTCGACTCCCTATGCTTGAATCGGGAACAAACCTATTATCTTCATCAACATCTTTGCTTCCACCAAATCTCCGCCACTAGGAAACACTATCCTCTTGCCGTGACTGATCCCTCTCCGATCTAAACCCCTTGTGGAACTCCCGCCTAGATCCAGAGAAGCTCCCGGATCGATGCATACGCTCTCCTCCATAGGAGTTCCTAGGTGAAGAAATTGAAACCCCCGGCGCTGCAATCTCGGTAGCGATCAAAGCTCTTTCTACGATCGAAGTCATTAGACTCATGGTCCAATTGCTTCCGCAAGGATCTAGAACTCTCTCGATCATCGTCTATCAATCGATCATACCCTGACGAAGATGATAACCCCTTCCGCCTGCCACTCTCAGCTTTCGAATAAAATCGTCGATGCGAAGACGAGTGGTTTGCATTATGATCCCTTCTTCCCCAATCTTTATGATGGTGTGCGATCTGGTTATTCTTAGTTGGAGGGCGACCTGAACTCCAATTGGGCGGCGGGCTGGATCAATTTGCAAAACAGTGGATCAGAGAACCTGGGGTAGCTAACCCGGTGAAATCGCTCTGATCCTTAAGTTAGTACTTATGCTATGAATGCGAGC